ATAGTTTAAGCTCAAAGGTTTTTAGAAACAAGGGTTTTGACAATTGTACGGCTATGAGCAAACCTTTTACAGCTTCACCTCTGGTAATTAAGGATGGTAGATTAAATTATCCTTTTTGTTTTTGTCTAGAAGAAGGTAATGAGATTAATAGCTTTGCTATTAGACATGATAGAAAGTTAAATGCCACTATTCAAATAAACAATAAAGGGAACGTTACCTTTGACATAGACTTTACTGTAGGATCTAACCCTGTAGCAAACATATTTAGGATTTGTAAAGAAGGAAAAGAACTACTACAATCCTTATCAGATAATTAAGATCCGTTTACTCTTAGTGGGATTGTTCTTATATTTGCATGGGGAGAAATAACAACTAGACATAAGAAAGACATCCCTTGGCAAGAAAATAAACCAACACTATATTGGGCAGGTGTTCCTGTTAATGTACCACCAGAGTGTAAAGCCATGTCAGATGAGAGCAAAGGAGATTTATCTGTGTTTTTACCAAGTATTCAAACATCACAAAATGCCAAGCGGATAAATTATAATTGGTATAATCAACAAATGATTTACACTATCAAAGCTTTAGAATTGCTGGGTCAGCAACTAGATGCCACTTCTCGTATGGCACTACAAAATCGGTTTGCAATTGACATGAGAGTTCCTGATTAGGGCGTATATGTTTCTTTTGGGGATGAATGCTGTAGTTACATTCCAATACATACAGCAGTAAAAGGTAATTTCACAAACATAATGGATCAATTAAGGCACTTAGGAATGACCATGTGGAAAATACTAAAGGTTCTACTCTATTTGCTGAGGGGATATTTTAAAAGGTTATTCTCTAGTGAGTGGACAGCTATCTTGTTAAGAGTGGGTATGATTCTATTGGTTATTCCTGTGGTTTTATTATTTTTGGAGTGTTGTGTTACACCTTTGGTACGCAGCATGATTATCAAAATTGTGGGGAATATTTTCCTGTGTTACAATTTGAAACTCCTACAGCCAATAACAACTTTCATGTGACTTGCTGTGTTGTACCAGCTCAAGGAATTAACTAGGACTGAGTGATGGCCTATTAATCTGTGTACTCTTTTTTAAGTTCTCTTTATATTTTGGTGTTTCATTCTATCCTTTAGTGACATTAGTTTGTGTTTTGGGAAATGTTATGATACATTGGCAAGTAAATATGTTTGTTAACTATTTCAAGGGTCTGGTTTGCTTTCAGGCTGATGCTGGCTACTGACATCCAAGAAGTTGGGTTCAAGACACCAGTTGCCTCTTTGGGGTTGAGAGCTGGGACTGGAATGGTCCAATTGTGGCTTTTTGGGCTTATTGGCTTTCTTGGGATACCTGGTATGTGGCACTTAAAGAGCCTGTATAGTAGCTTTGAGGAGCTTTATAACCAGGAAGACCCGGATTTGCCATGCCTTATACAGCTATGCTCACTCCTTATACAAAAAGTTCACCAGACTGAAAATTGGGCTAATAAATTTGTGGTGAGTTTAGCAGTATAATTTACACTGCCTGACTGGTTCCAACGCACAAACAATGATCATTTCAGGAGGGAAATGACGATTTGAGTTTTATTTTATTTTATTTATTTTTTTCTTTTACTTTGAACTACTTTGCTAATGGATTTGATTTTTGGTTTGTTTTTGTTTTTAACTATTTACTCTTTGATTTTGTTCATTTTCTTTTATTTTCATTATTTTACTCTTTCAACATTTATAATATGTAATTCAGCATTACCCACTGTTTGGTATGTTGAACATATTAATCAATTACAAGGTTTACGGTAAACCGTGAAAAGAAGGGAAATGACGTAGATTTTGAATAAATATGCCCTTAATCAGTAATCAAATAGATTAGATGTTGTAATCAATAACCAAATAGGAAGCATTGCCTAACAGAGAATATTAATTCTCTCACAAAGGGTAGGCCTTAGACTGTCTGTGTAGAAGATTCTAGACACTGGAAAGCAGCTGGGTTCACAGAGATGCCTGTGTGTATCTACTGACCCAGTGAAGAGAGGGGCAAGCTGACCCTGAAAGGTAGAGCAGGCTGGTAAAAAACCCTGTTGAAGCCAGTTTTGAGGAGTGAGCTCATCAAGCGATGGCCAAATTGATGGACGAAGAGATGCACCTATTAGAGAATGAGCTATCAAAATTTGAGAAGTGAGGTGGGGGGATATCACGTTAGCCCAGATAAATGGTATAAACTGTTGTTTGGAACACTGTATTTGCGCAGTTGGGTCTCTCGAGACCCTGTGCCACCTGATGCTGAAATAAAGAAGCCTTTTTCTTCCCTTCCACAAGAACTCAGCGGCTGAAGTCTTTTATTCTACTTCTTTTATTTTTGGTTGAATACCCTTTTTATTTGTGTTTATTTTATTTTTGTTTATTTTTTGCAAGTGATCTAAACAATAATTAGAACAAAACCACAGCACAGAATAGTTTAGATTTTAAAAACCATCATATGTCGGGGCTTTGGGCAAGGAAGCAAATAGCTCTTGGTCCCGACATAATCGGTGACCCTGTAACAGGGACAGGTGACGAACCTGAAAGACCGCTGTGTTATCAGCACCAGATTGATAGTGGACCGCCACCCCGTGACCCTGTGAAAAAAGAGACACGCTAAGAGTAAAAGTGGACAGATTAAGTAGTTTCATGTTGTGAAGATGATATAGCGATTGGAGTGAGCCGCCGGTTGACAATTAACAGTGTAGGAAGAAAAAGTGCGCCAGAGAAATAAAGAGATTGAGAAAAAGGAATAAAGAGATAAAGAGAGAGAAACAAAAACATGCTATATAGAGAAGAAGCGATAAGAGATAAACGTTAAATGTTTGTCTGTGTTTTGTCTGAAAGTGTAGCCATGCAGAAAGTTGTGAAAAGAAAAAAAAAATAGAAAAACTTCTGAAGATATGACTGCAGTGGTATGTGGAAACTAGGAGACAGGCTCCTTCGCTACATAAGTGTAGATGTGTGTATTACAACATCTGAGGCTGAACCCGCTGAAGCACAGGGTCAAGCAAACACTAACACTTTATCAGTACATTTATAGAGATGTGTTTTTAGCATGACATTACAGGTAGTTTTAGTCAGTGGCCTAACTGCATTTCATCACTCAGCCAGTCGTGATTTTTGCCCCACCACCGCCTTCGGAAATGTGGTGCCATCCCTGATGCAGTCGATAAAACCACCTTGCTTCAGCATTGTCAAATAGACATATACTAAGAGCAACACTAACAACTATATCAAGCACAACACAACCACAATACAGCAACACTAGTCACAGAGTAAACCTACCAAACTAGCCATATCAGAAAAGCAGCTACAGACTAATTAATTCTGGCTTATCTTTATTATCACTAAAGTTGAAGTCTTCTCTTTGTTGAATTGAATCTTCTCAGTAGTTTTCTTTCCATTCTCCATGAAATTTGCAGGATAAATACCGTTTGAGGGCCAACTGAATCGCTTGTGCTTTGTGTTCAGAGTACATGCTCTTCATTGTCGAGAAGGAATTCTCGCACATTAGAGTACACAGAACATTGCCTCCAAAACACTATAATAACTTTGAACAAGTTTTTTCAGGGTCAGTTTTTACCATCAAAGACTATTAGCTGAGGTTGTAGAATCTGGTGAGCAACAGCAAACCTTCATACAGCATCCCTCATATCTGTCTTTATTAGGTCAAGTAATGGTTTGACTTTTCTGACGTCCAAAAAGTCTGGACTGCCCGGATCCTAAGCACTCAAGTCACTCACGAGTTAGCTGTCATGTTTGTTGCAACACACAGCCATTTCTCCAAGAACAGATTCTATAGTGCTAAAGAACAGCCTTTTGCACAATTGCTTATTGTCTTCTTCGTGGTGACCAACCAAGTGTCCCCTCGACAGCGTGCTGTGACTTGCGCACCAGTAGTTTACAGTTTGGGGGAACTGGATCTGCACTTCCACAGTTTTTCCACAGTTTTCCAAACTCTGAATGCAATCATGCAGTTTGAATGAGCTGAACAGCCATGACTAGATTTATTTGTTCAGCTTGCAACAACTTGTTGGGAAGATCAAGCAGCCCCAAGACTTTGTGAATCATATTGGCAATATATTTGCAGTTTGAGGCTGTAATTGCCTTATGTAGTCCAGCAGCTTCAATTTTCATGTCAGCACTAGTTCTGCTGGAGTTGAGCTTCATCAACAACCCAGCAAGTGTTTCATATGATTTTTAATATCATGTTGAGGTGGCCAATCCTCCTTTGATCCAGTAACCATTGCAGTTTTTCTCCAGAATCCTAAGTGTTGACTGTGGGCTTTCTGAGAAATTTGTATTTGCATAGCATGTATAAAAAAAAAGTCAATGGCTGGTCCATGTCAACACCAGTTAACAAGGCCTCACTCAAAGAAAGGGAATCTGAGGTTGCTTCATGCTGTGTGGTGCTGTCCGGTCTATTTTCTTAAAGCAACTGTAATCTGATGTCTGTGGTGTAATCTTTTAGCTACTGTCATTAGGTAAGGTTTCGCTCTGGTCATGCAGTCAAACCAAGATCTATCTAGTATCTGTCAAGTTTCATTTAAATTATTTAAAAGTTATATATAATTTTTATAATATATATACATACAATCTCAGACACCTCAGTGCTGGAACCAAACTAGCATGATACATTTAAAATGACTTTTAGCTTCAGAAAATGAATGTTCTGCATGTAAATTAAATTAAAAGACTCCATGCATATTTATAGCAGCAGTGCTCTGTATTGTTATATACATTAATATAATGTCCAGAAAGGTCTATCTGGCAACTCATCTTCTAATATTGTTGTATTTGTGCAAGTAGCAATGTACACTTTGTAAAGAAGACTTTTCTATATGTAAGAAGATTTTCCTGTTTTTTTATCTTAAACCCAGCCACTTGTTTATTTTTTGATCTTGCTTCTCGATGTAACAGAACATTTTTTATGTATGACTTTCAGTACAACACAGTGCAGGGAAAGAATGGATGTTTATCCTCCCACCCCTACTATTTTTATTCCCCCTCTCTGGTGGGTGTTGCCTGAGATTGTGTTAAATGTCAGCAGAACACCTTCTTTTCTGAATGAAAGCACCAGGCTGCAGGACAGAAGGACTTCTGAGGACCACTTTACACTGGAAATACAACTATAACCTGAACACCGTGGAATTATTCGTAGTCAGAACACAGTACGTCATGATGAAACTAATGTTGTGATGCAACACTGTGCAACTGAAGATGGGAGAAGGGAGCTGGAGGGGATCTTTATTCCAGTGGGAGTTGCTTGACACAGTATTAAAATTTCAAAGTGAAAGTATCAGGCTGAAGAACTTCCTAACCATCACTGTGGATGTCCCGTTTACTCCTCACTGTAAGTTCTCTTTCTTTCTTTCTTTCTTTCTTTCTTTCTTTCTTTCTTTCTTTCTTTCTTTCTTTCTTTCTTTCTTTCTTTCTTTTATCTCTCTCTCTCTGCAGATTGAACTATTTTTAGCTCAAGCTGCATTCTGAGCACTGCTAACATTGGATGTTTTCAGTGACATCCTCCAGAGAGACTGCTTTGAAAGAGTGCTTTGTGGTTTGTAGCTTTGTGGTTGAGCATGTGTATTTGTTACATTGTGTAAAAATGTCATGTTTTCCTTTCAAATACAATTGCATGCCCTTTATTCATTAATTTACAACAAAAATATAAATTACTCTTACTGATTTCAGAAAACTGCTAAGCCTGTCAGAGACTTGATTCTCAGAAGGAATGGAAGTGCATAATTGTGTCATCAGTATAGCTATGAAAATGTATGTGTTTTCTGGTGGCATTACCCAGATTTAACATATACAAAAAGAAAAGCATGAATGAGTTCAAGAAATACATTTTAGCCCAAAACGTGATCTCAAATCTGTCATAAAACAACGTCAGGCAGCATACTCAAACATTTCATGTCATAATATGTTAGGTAGGTTTTTGAGGCATGTCTGGTTATGTCAGTATCCCTAGAATTGTGCATTTCACAACAAACTACTCTGAATTAAGCTGTTTACATCATAATAATTTAATTAGGCTGAAAATTAGGTGGAATTCACCCTTTAAATTGTAACAAAAGTGTTGATGGAAAATTTAAATTAGTTTGTGCTTGTCAATGTCGCTATAAAAAAAAACCTATGTTTGTGTTTAAATGAATTAGTAGGAAACGTCACCTGTGTCATTTATAGATTTTTTTTTAATTAAAGAATGTGTAGTGCTGATTTTAAATATCTTTTAAAGAAATTAGTAAATAGTTGTGATGTTGGAGGCATGTAGGTCAGTTGCAAGTGCAAAATTACTTTATTTGGAGCTGTCCAACACTGAAAGTCACAACATTCAGGGTTTAAAACTCATGCAGGCAAAAGAAGAGTTAGATCCAGGTTGGAAAACCAGAAAGACAAGGCAAGGGTCAAAACAGGGAAACAATAAGAAAAAACACAGCCCAGTTCTCAGAATACAACACAGACCCCACACACAACTAAACCAAACAAAGTGGTATGTAAAAAGGAATGAATGGTGTCTAGACCACATGCAGATGTGCAAGGGTGGTGTATGTGGGCGGAGCCAGGTAGAATCCAGTTGGAATCCCCCCCTTACATGACGTAAGGTAACATGACAATCATAAACCGCTTGGTATACACTTTGTATTTGGTTTCACTTTCATGTCTTGCACTCTTATCTGATGAGATGTTCAAATGCAATTCCAGAGCGAAAGAGGCCATGGACAAATGGTACCTGCTTCACCTGATTCAAGTACTTCTCATCACACCCTGTTTCTGTGAAAGTAAGGAAAATCAGTTCACTTACATTATCCAACCATGTCCAAAAACAACATTAAGTATGATAAGGAAAATGCCGCAGGCTTTGTTTTAACTGGTCTAAAGTAATTAAATAATTTTATGGTTATACTTTGGATGAACATCTAAGAGATCCTTTTGCTTTTTCTCAGCAGATTAAGAAACAGACACTACATTTGCCTTTGATCTATGTGTTTTGAGCTCATTGATCGCAATCATTTGCTTCCAGAAATTATTTGATTTTAGAGAAATTATAAACATCTCTTGATTTTAAATATTTTAACTGCTTTTTGTAAAACATGGGCCTCATTCACCAATGTCAGTTTTTTCTTAAACTTGCTCTTGAGAAAGATCCTATGTAAAAGTTTGTGTCAGATTCATGACGTGTTCATAAACTGCAGAATTTTTCACTTTGCTCACAATTGTGCTCTTGAGCGTGTGTAGATTCTGCTCTTACCTAAGAATAAATCCCAAACACGTGAATGTCAGAATCTCTGTGAAAACTGCGTAAGCAGGTTTTAAGAAGAAATTTCTTCCTCAGAAAAGTCGATGAATGAGGCCCATTATTTCCTGGTGACCAAAGCCTATTTTTTGTAGCCATGTGTTTTAATCCCTTTAAAACATTTCTTAAGATTGGTGTTCCTGAGGATATGTTGGCTAAACTTTAGAACATATAAACATGTGGACTACACAAAATTAAAAATTTCAGATTTCAGATTAGACATGAAAAGGTTAAAGTTACACTCTCTATTAACACCTGACACACTGATTCATGAGTACACTGATTCATGATACAACAAAGTCATTCGGAGTAATTTGATGTAAAATGCTCCATTCTAGAGAAACTTCCAAAGTCAGAATAGGAACCAGACGCCTGAAGCGTTTAATGACTCTAAAAGTTACTTCACAGAAAACATGAAACACAGAAAATTAAAATTTCAGATTCACTTCAGACAGGAAAGAGTTGCACTCTACTTTGGCATCTGACACACCAACTCATGAGTTAAAATGAAACCACACCATTTAGGTATGTGCAAGTGTTTGTGTGCAAGTATGTGTTTAGTAAACTATTACAATTTATTCACTGACTTCATTTGTTATTACTTTTTCAGACAATATGCTGGACTGTCCTGACATAAAAACGACTGTTGGGCAACCATTAAATCTAACCTGCACAGTTATGAAGTGTGTGAACACAGGGTGTAAAGACTGCAACTCTACCAAATATAAATGGAAGAAGGACAACAAAACACTGAAACATGGCAATAGTACTGGTCAGCTTCAGTTTTATTACCCAATTCAGAATGCATCCATGGAGCATAATGGAACGTATACATTTTGGGTGCAGCTGAAGAGTGGTCCTCTTACAAAGAACTTCAGCGTGCTCTTATTAGGTAATTTTCTTTTATCAGTCTATATGTTACATACTTCTACACAACTGCAGTGCACACTGTTAAATTCATTTCTAAAATTTTATTTATATGATAGCATCACAAGTGTAACTCATAGCAAATTATCCACAGAAAGAAAGATTACATAGAATAAAATGGTTTTGTAGAATACAGTAATAAAACATTTGTGGTGTCATTAACTGTCAAAATATCACAATTCAACTAAGAAGGATAAAAAATGTCGTTTTTGTACATATCAAGAGTTTTATCTGTGGTCAAATGGCACATTTAGAAGCTATGTGTTAAATAAATAAATAAATAAATAAATAAGCAGAAATCAAATACTTGTGACTGGTGAGTGTCAGATCAGGCACATGCATGCACGACATTCACTTTATTCTTAAAGGGAAATTCCACCAATTTTTAAATGTTTCTGTATAATTAAATCATTATGATGTAAACAAAGTCATTCAGAGTGATTTGATGTGAAATGCTCCATTATAGAGAAACGTGCAAAGTCAGAATGGTTCACAGTGGTGGTGATAGGAACCAGACGTCTGAAGCGTTTAATGACTCTAAAAGTTACTTCACAGAAACTCTTACGTGACATGCATATGAATATGCTGCCTGATGCCTTATACATTGTTTTGCCATAGTTCTGAGATAAAGTTTTGGCCTAAAATTTATTTCTTTTTTTATTATTCAGTAAAGGTGAGGAGATACATGCAGGGTGTTTTGAGACAAAATAGTCCTCAAAGAAAACTTTTTTTCCAGATATCTAAAAGTTACTTCACAGAAAACATGAAACACAGAAAATTAAAATTTCAGATTCACATCAGACATGAAAGAGTTACGCTCTACTTTGGCATCTGACACACCAACTCATGAGTTAAAATGAAACCACACCATTTGGTATGTGCAAGTGTTTGTGTGCATGTATGTGTTTAGTAATCTATTACAATTTACCCACTGACTTCATTTGTTATTACTTCTTCAGACATTCCGCTGAACTGTCCTGACATAAAAACGACTGTTGGGCAACCATTAAATCTAACCTGCACAGTTGGGTGTAAAGACTGCAACTCTACCAAATATAAATGGAAGAAGGACAACAAAACACTGAAACATGGCAATAGTACTGGTCAGCTTCAGTTTTATTACCCAATTCAGAATTCATCCATGGAACATAATGGAACGTATACATTTTGGGTGCAGCTGAAGAGTGGTCCTCTTACAAAGCACTTCAGCGTGATCATATCAGGTACTTTTCCTTTATCAGTCCATAAGTTACGTACTTCTACATAACTGCAGTGTACACTGTTAAATTAATCTCAAACTGACTCAATCCACAAAGAAATTTTACTGGCTTTAATAACTTATGAAAAATATTAAGAGCAGAATTTAAAGGACGTAGAATGCATTTCACGAGACACAGCATTAATTATGATGAAAAGCAAAAACAGGAAGCAAATGCATAAAAAGGCCTAATGTTTGATCAGAAATATACTTGCACCACATTTACCTGTATGCTAAACGAGGAATTTCACCCTTTTTTCAATATTTCTGTATAATTAAATCATTATAACATGAACAAAGTCATCCAGAGTGATTTGATGAGAAACACTCCATTCTAGAGAAACTTGCAAAGTCAAAATTGTTTACAATGGCTGTGACAGGAACCAGATGTCTGAAGCTTTTAATGGGCCTCATTCACCAACCGTTCTTATAAAGAAATTTCTTCTTAAAACCCACTGGCGCAGTTTTCATGAAGATTCTGATATTCACCAATGTTTTCTTATTTGAAATTTGTTCTTAGGTAAGAAGAGAAACTACACACCCTCAAGAGCACAATGGTGTGAACAGTTCTGCAGTTAAAGAACATGTTATGAATCTGACATGGACTTTTTCTTAAGATTTTTCTCTAGAACAAATTTAGGAAATATGTTGGTTGATTTATTAACTCTAAAAGTTACTTCACAGAAAACTCTTACATGACATCGTTGCACATTTTCTTGTGTTTTTTTTTTTTGTCCTTACAAAGGGCACAAACAGCTACTTGTATGGGTTGGCCACAGAAAGTCTTTGGTCCTCATTATAGGCACAAATATAACCCTTTACAGATGAACCAATAGCTGCAGGGCAAATACTCAGGATAAAGACCTAACCCACATGATTTTACAATAGTTCTGAGATAAGGTTTGGGTTAATTTTTTTTACTTAATTCATGGCAGAGAGGTACATACAGGTTGCTGTGAGGCGAAACAATCCTCAAAGAAAACTTCTTTTCAGATATACTACTATTTTACCATTATCAAAATATATATAAAATCTCTTTTTGTACAGAGCCTGGCTGGTGACATCCCAGATTAATAAAAATAATGCATTATTAACGCATGGGAACGAGTTCCTAATGCATGGCCATGACTTAGTAAGGTGTGGGAATGAGATAATCAAGTGGTGGCCACAACTTAGTAAGGCATGAGAATGAGATCATGCCTTACTAAGTTGTGGCCATGCATTAGGATCTCGTTCCCACGCCGTACTAAGTTGTAGCCACGCATTAGGATCTCTTTCCCACGCCTTACTAAGTCATGGCCACGACTTAATCATCCCATTCCCACGCCTTACTAAGTTGTGGGCACGCATTATTTTTATTTATACATGATGTCACCAGAGGGGGTCCGTATTTTTGATAGTAAATAAGATGACTACATTTGCGTTGTAGACATTTTGATCCCTGATTCCTACCACCTAAAGAAATTAGAATCTGTTTCTCTAGAATGAAGTGTTTCATAATTAAACCACTGTGAATGACTTTGTGTGCATTTCAGTGACTGAATCATGCAAAAAATGTAAAAAAGTTACCTCCTGCTGTCACCACTGTTCATACCACTGGTAGTGGATGCACTTACACATATGAAAGTACATAATCTTCACAAACAGAAATGATCTGGCCACTGTATTCTGATTTGCATATTTTCATATTCATGCTTTAGACTAATGATTTTTTTTTTTTTCCAGAAAACAAGACTGGAACTAATCACCACCCTAACACTCGCACAGGAGAATATTCTCATAATCATAAAGTGGCTGTAATTTTTGTGGCCATTCCTTCTACCATAGCCCTTGTTGCTTCCATTGGTTATGTATATAAAAAAATGAGAAGTAACTGCAGCTTTCCAAACAGAGAGCGTGTTCAAATTTCAGATTCCAGATCTTAATCCCAAGAAACAAAACATATCATCATGGATACTGTGACAAGCTGTCTTACTGGTGTCAATCTGTCAGTCAAGCTGAGAGGAACAGTAAACGAGGAGGTGAAAACTGAAACAATTGGTTTTATAGAACAAATAAACACTGGTCAGGTTTCTTGTTTGTTTTGTAAAATATTTTGCATATATATAGCAAATGTGTATACATATGTAATGTATTTCTTCCGCTTTTTCTATCTAATTTCCATGAAACGTTGTATTACTGATCATTTGTGATCATTGAGTAAGAGATTGTTGGACAAAAGCTTGTTTTAAGTTACTTTCAAACTATTAAAAGATTGAAATCACATTTTAATCGTGTCAGTGCTGAGCATTGTCATTTTTTTTCCACACTAACTTCGTAGTTGTAAATCGACCTATTTTGCCTGTTAACATACAGTGCTTTCAGAACACATTCAGACCCCTTTGCCTTTTCCTTATTTTTAACACTAACATTGTAACATCTGCAAAAGAAATCTCTATAGTACAAAAGCATTAAAATGTTTCCTCAAGGTTTCATTGATTAAACATAAAGAATGGAAATATTACATTTACACAAGTGTTCAGACTCTTTATTTGGCCCCAGAGTTGTGAACAAGTCACAAGTAGCAAGTAACAAACAAACCTCAAGTCTGCCACTTGAGTCCCAAGTCAGGTCCCAAGTCAAGACAGTGAAGTCTCAAATTAACTCTGAAGTCAGTACAGGCAAGTCTTGTATTCGAATCTGATCATGCAAGTTTGTATTCTTCAACATTTAATGCCATTTCAACACCAAAAATGATGGTGGCAGCAACTCAGTCTTTTAATAATAGCATGTTAATAGTGCATTGTTATATATTAAGCTTGTGTTATATATTAAGTTTCTAGCTTACGGAGGCAAACTTGAATTCTCATACTTTACTTGTCTCCCAAATAAAATAGGCCAGGCATTAGCATTGTAACAGATACTTGATGCTGTTGCTGTAAATCAAATTTACATGTGATGCAGTTCTGGAATGCTGGAATCCATTCACATGAAAAGTAGCTGACTGTCAAAATCCACATCTGCTGCCAGATGCCTTTCCATGTTTCTTTCACTTTGGGTTGTGAGTCTTTCTGTGTTATAAATTCGAGTCAAAGTCCAAGTCTCTGGTGTTAAAGGCAAAGTCGATGGGCAAGTCTTTTTTATCGAGTCGAGTCTCAAGTCATTCATAATTCAAATCTGACTCGAGTCCACATCTCTATTTGGTACTATGTTGAAGCGTCTTCTTGGGTGTGATTCTACAAGCTTGGCATTCCTGGATTTGGGGATTTTCTCACATTCCTCTTCACAGTCAGGTTGGATGGGTACTGCTATTTTTAGGTCTCTCCAGAAATGTTAATTCAGGTTCAAGTGCAAGCTCTGGCTCAGCCACTCAGGGATCTTTACAAACCCATCCCCAATGGCACTCCTGCATTGTCTTGGCTGTGTGTTTCTTCTGCCTAATCTGCAGTCATGGGTGCTGATGAGCTGTTTTTCCACAAGGATTCTCCTGTAACTTGGTCTGTTTATCTTTTACTCAATCCTATTAACCCTCAATCCTAGTTCTTGCTGCTGACATCCCAATTACTTTATGCTGCCACCACCATGCTTCACTGTGGGGTTGGAATTGGCCAGAGTTTTGAGCAGTGCCTCATCCTCCAGATGAATGCTTGGCATTCAGGCCAAAGGGTTTGTTCCACCAGAACATTGAATTATGAGTTTAGGATTCTGAGGGTACTTTAGGTGCTCTTATGCTACATTTAGATGTCATCAATGAAAAACTGAAAACCTTATAGTGATCTGTGACTGACAACAGCAGCCACACAAACACTGTCATGCTGATGCTGCTGGTAACAGAACTTTCCTAGACTAGACAAACTTTAAATAAGCTGTCATGTGCTTTTTACTGAGAAGTGGATTCCCTCTGGCCACTCTACTATGAAGTCCTGATTGGTGGAGTACTGCTGAGATGGTTGTTCTTTCTTGGAGGTTCTCTCATTTCCCATTTCCACACAGGACCTCTGGAGTTCCAAGTACCTGTATCAAATAACTTGGTTCAAGTCATCTGTGATTTGTTTGTAGGCCCACCAGAAGGTGATATGGCCAGCTGTGGTGCTGAAAATGATGAGCATGTGCTAAGTAACTATGCTTGTTGTGCTTTTCTGTAAGTTTTCTATAAAATCCAAATGTGCACAATTACCAAGTGTGAACAGTGTCTTTACAGGTTCATCAAGAAAAATGTGAGAAATATTGTTCTTAGATTTATAATAGGCTTTAATCCCCACATATTGTTGTGATGCTCAACTAAAAGCATATTTTAGCATCTACCGCACACAGTCACTACATGACCAAAAGTATGTGGACACGCATTCTACAGTTGTATGCAAAATATTAACCCTTTGGGGTTAATCCTGCATATCTTCTTTAATACATCTTTAAAGGTTCTTGCATATAACATGATATTTACATGTTTCATATCACAATGCTCTGTTATCTTCATTGCTGCTTTCCAAAACCACTGCAGCAACTTCAGCGGCTGTATTGTTTTTGCATACCATTTGCCAACCATATGACGGTGGCCCCATAAGGCAGACGTTTTGAGAGTCTGTTGTGAAAGAACCTGCATACTGCCCAGACCTCAACTCTCAGTTCCTTCTCATTTGTAGTCCAAAAAAATATAGTGCTACTACTTACAGTAGTTAGAAAAATGCTTTCTAAAAACATACTTGAATATGTATGTGTGTGTGTCTTCACTAGAATGCTGAACTGAAGATACTGAACCATGGAAACTAGTTACCACTCATAATGTGCACTGTCTGTAATTTACAGTTGTATGCAAAAGTTTGGGGTAACACCATTTTGAGTGGTCCTTCATAGATGATTAATAAACTCTCAAGAGAGTATCAGTAACACATAAACAACATCTCAAAGCATCGGAATACATTAAGGCAAATATCTTGAGGATGTGTTGTTGATACGTTAGTTACATTAAGCAGCCGTATTGTTATGCTACATGAAGCCAACTTTCTATGTTACTTCCACTAAGCGTAACCTAAACCTACCCAACCTTACCTTAATCTTAACTATAACCAACCCTCAACCTGGCCCTAATCTTAACCTAATCTTAATCCTAACCCCCACCTCAACCAAAACGTAATTCAGGACCACTCAAAATAAAGTGTCACCAAGTTTGGGTGCCACTTCTCAAATTACATGATTCTGTAAGTGAAAATAAGTTTACACATCCTTTTCAGAAAACACTTCTGCACATTTAGATATGAAATCACTGTTCATTTACTCAGTTTAACATATTGGGAAAAATAAAACATTAAACACAGCCTATGCAAAAGCTGTGGCATATTTTATATTTATCTTTTTCTCCTAATATGTTAAATTCAGCAAATAAACAGCAATTTGCACTACAATTAGCTGAAAAATCCCATATTTATGTTCCCCGTAGATGACGAAAAATCAATGTGACTGTATATGTAACATATTATAATGCAAATGAAGTATAGTTTCTTATTTTTTAGTGATTATTCATGAGTCATTTGTGATTAGTTGATATGCATTCAATAACAGTTAGATTGACTTCATGTATATTTTATGTATTTTTCAAAACATTAAAAATTAAGCAGAACATGTATTGAGATAACATAGGAAAAGATGGAATCAAGATTTTAAATCACTTCTGAAAATAAAAAATAAAAAATAAAAACTTAATTTGAAAAATTTTGTACCTCAATAGGGCAATGAATACAAGAGATCCAACTCATAAAGCATAAAATAATCATGTGATTTTTGTTCTTTCGATTTATATCAAAAGTATTTGTATTTGTAAGGCCAGAAAACTGCACAAATCTGCACAAAATTATACATTTTGTATCTACACTTATGTCACTTTAAAGTCTAGGGTATTGATTTAAGTTAGGCATCTTTATTATTTTTCTGTTTTATACATTACTACTTTTTGTTATGTTATACATGTTGGTGTTTACTGGAGTTTACTGATGCACACAGTAAACTGAAAATAAACTAACCTACCACGTTTGAATTTTATTGACTTCTGGATTTCCCGTCCAGTTGTAAACATGGCGATGCTGCTCTCAGTGCACAAGTTTCACGTACTGCTCTGATGTACATGAAACTTGCGCTTTGCCGAAATAAATGAACAAAACTGAATTAGTGGGTGTTTAACAGAGTGTGGAGAATTGACAGGAAACAGACAAAACATTTTCAGGTAATCAGCTGCGCAGCTCTCGCCATCACATCAGACACTTTGATCAAGACATGTTGAAGACCGTCAGCAGAAAGTCAGTAACGTGGAAACCACATTTCCTGTCAGAGAGAAGTGATGGAGGAAGTTCTGTCCTTTATATATGACACCATCTAGATGAGGAGGCTGCAGAGTAGTGTTGTGAACAGCTTCAGCGCAGCTGCAGCAGGATGTTTCTGACACTTTTCTGGCTCTTCTTGGCCTTTTGCTGTACTCCTTCACTTTCAGCCAAAACAGGTGAGCCACATACAAATATGCAACTTTATGCACAGACCATTAGAACAAACATGACTTAAATTCTTGAGCACTTTATTTTTAGCTATGGGCTGACTGAATCTCATTTCCTCTTGAGAGTGCTTTTTTAATGCCACATAAAATATGTCGCCACATAAAGACAAGATTTTCCAGGAGACCTCTGAAAAATATGTTGTCTTTATTAATGGTGTAGCCTTCTTTGTACTGAAAACAGTGGTTAGATAGTTCTGGTCCTGGATTACCCTGCACTGCATGATTTTTTATTTTATCATGCACAGCTGCATAAGGGGAGAGTGCTAAAGTGTGCAGTACAAGGAGTCCCAGGCCTGAGGCCAAATTCCACTGATGTAAAATGTTACTCACTGGCAGACTTTGGCCAAGGGTGAAGGGCAATACGCAATTAAAAAATAGTAATGCAAACAGAAAGTCGTGGAGTGCCAGATGACAAAAACTGCAACAGGTTTGAATTAGACTTGCTGTTCTCAGTGCTAAGGCAGTAAACACCCTGAAGTCAAACATGTTTAGCTGTATATAGCTATACAGCTCTATACAGCTCATGGTATTAAAGGAAAAGGTGAGATTTAGGTCATAATTGGGTTTGTTGTTTACCGAAATGTACCTATGACTTGGTTCTTATCTGATTCCTTCTGATATTTACCAGATACAGACCGTTACTTATTATAAGCAGTCACTTAGTGACACTTCATTTTGAGAGGTCCTCTCAAAAACAAACGAGGTGGGTTAGGTTTTGGGTTGAGGTTAAGGTTAGGGTTAGAACTAAGGCCAGAGTTAGGGTTAGGTTTTGCTTAAAGTTGGGTACGATTTGGTTTTGCATAGTGGAAGTAACATATTAACAACACATCTACTTAATGTAATTAATGTATTAACAGAACACCTACAAGATATACACCTTCAATGTATTCAGAGGCTTCACTGCTGCTACTTCACTGATTTGTTGTTGATGTGTTACTGATAATCTATTCAGCGTTTATTAATCATCTACACAGGACCACTCCAAATAATGTTACCTAATAAATAAACACTCAGTAAAGCAGAAATGATGCACATGCCACATGGAATTCATTTTCTTTATATTGACAGTTTAGTTGTTTGTATCTTAAGAGAATTTTGTTATAAGAATCATATCTTATTCTCTCCTGTCATTAATTATTAGTTTTGTTGTGTTTACCTTAGAATGTATGTATCATTGACTAAATCACAGTCAAAATTAACAAACCATTTAAGTGGATGTAGTGCAGCACTTAGGTTTCCAGAAGTTCAGAAAAGGCCCCTGAAGGTAGCATATTTCTGAACGGCTTTTTGAAGTAGGTTTAGCACAGTATTATCTGTCCATAAATCATGGAATCGAGACTCTTCTGACTCATTTCTGCATCTTTAATCAACTTGTCTTCCGTTCTTTTTGTTTTGGGTGTTGATGTGGGGTTCTGTGCAGTTTTCTCTGAAGAGTGAATCACTGATTTCAGGGCAGGTGTTCTGAGGGTTTTCCTTGCATATTCCATTCACCACCCACAGCTGTTTTTATTTAGTCAATAAATGCTGAATATAGTGCCTCCTTTCTTCAACCTGAAAGTTTTCCAGTGTTTTTGCTTTGATTCTGACAAAGTCAAGGTCATGTTTCCTCTGCCCATCTCTCTCTCCTTGCTCACTCTCTCTCCACTTCTCTCTCTCTTTCCTCCCTCGCTCACTTTCTCCCTGTCCTGTGTCTCTCTCCCCCTCCCTCTCTCCAGAATTGCCTACACTCCTCCAGAGCCCGGCGGCCATCATCCTGTCTAAGCTCAACTCCACGGCCGAGCTGCTCTGCTCCACCACACTCAAACCTTCTGGGCTGTATCTGAAACAGCGCTACTCCAAGCCACGAGAGCTGCTGTATCTAAGTATACCTGACTATACTAAGACCTTCAGCTTCGGTTTTGAACATCGTCTGTCAGTCAGTGGCAAGTGCTGTGACTTCACCCTGAGTCTATCTCAGCTGCAAATTGAGGACACAGATGGGTACTACTGCGAATGGGTGTTTATTGGGGGTACAGGCGTACAAATCAGCTACGGGCAAGCCAGTGAGACAGTCATCATCGTGAGAGGTACGGTTTCATAGTTTCACCATAAACACACAAAATAAAATGTAAATATGGAATTAATTATTAGTTAGAAGTACTTATTAATAATTAGCAGGAAAGCTGTGAATAAAAAATAGAAATGTTAATGTTTCCAGAATGATGAACAGAGCTGTGGAAGTTTCTAAAATTACGGAGACAAGTGGTGTTATTGATAGACCAGAATTCATCATATTTCAAAAGTGGAGATCAAATATATGGACATAAATATATATTTGCAGTATATTATTTACCGTTCACTTCCTGTTCAAAGAATTCCTGAAATATTGAAGAAAAAATATAAAAATACCTTTTGATGAATGGTTTGAAATGGAATTTGTATTAGAATCAACACTAGATAAATTATTATTGTATATAAAGCACTGAAATCAGTTTTTCATATTTGATTTTACTCTTATGGTGATTTTCACCGCCGCCATTTGTTCAGCACAATTACAGTCTCAAGTACTTTAAAGCACAGTCTATCTGTAAACGTTATGTACTTGCAATCTTAAACCATTTGAAGGTTGCATAATATTAACCCCTTAAAATCCCAGGTGTATTACACACTAAGGCTTATTACTTAGTGTCTACAGGAACTTCAACACAAACCAGCTGAGTTATTCTAGGTATAGAAGCATGTAACAAAACTTTGGGCCTACGGGTAGGCACTGGACATTTAAGTGGTTAAAATATGTTGACTAATGAACCTTTAACCATGACTAAAAAAAAACTGATTACCGTGTCACTCCACCACCAATGAGCTAGAAATATTAGAATAACCCAACAGGATGAGAATGTTTTTGTTTTTGTTTTTTTTTGTTTTTTTTTGCGGTGTTGGGCAGTGAGCAGTTGTGTATTCAGTCATATGCGCTGTATACTGATTTTTTTTTGCTGCATAAACTCACTTTTATTTTTTTATTCCAAGATGCCTCACAAGTCAGGGAGAAGAAAAACATTCTCCATGTCCAAAATGGTTCCCTAATCACAACACCTATTTAAAAATCTGGATTACAATATAAAACACTATTATAGGGAACAGCATTCATTACGGTAGTAAACAATTTTGGTCACCATATCATACAGGTTTGCTTGTTACTGTGCGACAGCAGATTCTGTAACACTGTAAACGTCAGGCCACCAGTCCTATATAACCGCTGAGTTTGACTGCACACGTGAGAAGAGCTTACTTAGATTGTAACAGGTCTGAAGTGAGGTATTGCGGTGCATTGTGGGATTGTTTAAGAGCACTGAATTCTCTGCACTAGGTTTTCGGCACCCAGTAAAAATGGCGGAATCCCAAAATAGCGCACTATGTAATGAAAAGGGCACAGCTGCAGACACAGCAATTGCGTCTCCTGCAGTCAGTGAAAGTGATGCATGACACCGACTCTTGACTCTGCTCTCGACTCCCCGACTCCACTTAATTTTAACCAAGACAGCGCCAGAGCTGGTGACAATGAGATAAAGCAGAGATGACCAAAACCTTCCTGAACAAAGTTTACTCCATTTTTTTGAGTAGCTAGAGATTCTAGCGATGTGATGAAAGTTTGTATATTACCAGGTAGAGTCAGACAGCTTGACAAATGATCACAGTTGATTAATGTTTCTACAGTGTAACTGGCTAAACTGCTAGTTCGGCTAATCCCAACAGCTTCATGTAGATTTATGGAAGTTGCTTCTTACACCAAGTGGCTAAGTGAATGCTTAGTTAACTACATTCTTGGAGAAACTACCCATCAGATGCACTGAGATCCAAAGATTAATTGCATGTTATTGATTAATTAATAATCAAAACAGAAATGGCATCCAAAGAAATGTTACAGACAACATTCAGAGAACGGAGAATCCAAATAGGAAGCCAACTTCAGCCTCGTGCATCTGAGTATGTTTAATCAGAGTGTCCTGACCTATGAAAAAGTGTTGAATAAACGAACTGCGATGCATAATATGAATGCCAATAATTTCATTGTTGTACTTCAATGTGCAATGAATTGATTCATAACACATCTCACCTCACTCACATATATGTATGACACGTCAGAACTCTAACAAGTACTGCAGATTCAAGCAGAAGTACTTGTTCAAAAAGCATCATATAGGTCATACACTGGAAGTAATGTGAGTCACTGAGCAATACTTTTCACCACAGCTCTTCCTGTATTAGTTTCTAAAGCAGTTTGAGTTCCTTTCTCTGCATTTCTCATAATAAAAATATACAGAAGAAAAAAGCTGCTGTTATACTAACGCCTGCTGCTTTGCCCAGTTAACTTTTTTACTGTCAGTAAAAGTCATGACATGGCTAGAAATGAGCTTAAGTCTGCGCTGGTGGTTACAGATAAGCTCTCAGAAGTGTATGTGAGAGGTCAGTATGTGTATATTAGTAGATCTGCTGAAGTATGTGTGAATAAGGCGGCTTGTTCTATACCTCAGATGGAGACCCAGAAGAGGAATGCAATAAACGGCGTATGGTTCATCACCTTCTCTTCGTGATCAGCGTGCTCATTACTGTCACAATGTTCATTATTTGCATTGGTCTGCTAATATGGAAGTTCCGGCAGGTAAGACTACATGAGATTTTACCATGTTCACAACCAAGACCAACAAGTTATAACTTCTGGGGTTAGGGCTAGGGTTGACCTCTCAAATGCAGCACACCAAAATGTAGGCCTATGCCATTATTTTGTACTGTGAAGAAAAATGGTGGGAACACGTCCCGGATTAAATTAGTTTTGACATTACTCTTCCATGAATAAGCAGTAACCAAGCTAGCCTGCATGCAGTGAGCACATTGGAATGCTGACTGCAGAAGTGATTTTATTGTTTGCGTCACTTGGCAGTTGCTAATTACAAAAGAAATGATGTTTTTTATAAAATAAGGGAGCCATTGAGAACTGAAATAAGCTGATTCAAGCATAGGTCATAGCTCTTGCTCTTGCTTGTTTTCACTTCCACTACCCTAGCTGATCTCAGACAAACAGAGATCTGTTTATTTGTGGATTTTATAACATGATATCAATACAGGTCAGACCAGTTTATAGTACTCTGGATTTATGAACTACACAATATATTTTTGATAGATGAGTTTCAGGCATCAGTGCTCCCCCTACAAACACCGCCACCCCCAGCACTATATATATATAGTGTTTCTCCTGAATGTCCTGTGTATATACAGCTGTATGCAAAAGTTTTTAAGTGGTCAAATTATCTGTTTTGTTGATTTTCTTAATAAATAAGTGAATACATCCTCTACAGTGAACACACTACTGCACAGCTTAATACACAATTGCTGTTCATTTACTAAATTCGACACATTGGAGAAAAAATACATATGCATGTGGCCTGTGCAAAGGTACAGTTCATATTTTTGCCAAGTTTGTTCGCTGTAGAGGATGTGTTGACTTATTTTCACTCAGAAAATCACTGAGAAATACATATGTATGAGTAAATATCATTTGTAGACATAAATCATAAAGAAGCAGAGGTGGAGTAAAGTTTAGTTTATTGCATTTATTATGATACAAGTCGACCTAACTGCCCCATAATTAATGTTGTCTCTATTTTCATACAAGAGAGTGGGTAGGATAAATAAATTCTTGCAGTCTTGAGCAAGACATGGCTTGTTGGTTAGCAGCTGCTGAACTTGATGGTGTGGGGGTGAAAGAGACATGCTTTGATGATAAAGACATTATGGATTTATTCCATTGTTTTCTTTAGTCTGGCACTTTTTTTGCCCTCTTTTTTTTTTAATCAGAGCCACATAAAAAAGTAAGAGAGTTGGATCAAGACGTAGGCCACATCAGCAACACTATTTAAAGGTCATAACATCCAAATATTATAAATAATCTTGTAATCTATATTTTTACTCTTGTGTTTTTCTACAGTCTTCTCAGCACTATTCACCTTATAAGGTCCCTCACAGGCGTCATCAGCCCCAGTGCCCGCATCGCAGAAGATAACAGTATTATTAGTTTGCCTTCTATGGGCTTTTTGTGTGTGTGTGTGTGTGTGTGTGTGTGTTTTCCTTGCACTAGCTTGTGTTTTCTAGGCCTCAAACCTTCCCCCATTAAAAAGGTGACAAAACATCCTGCTTTTTTTCATCTGTGCTGCTGTTTTTTTTCCATTCTGCTGACAATTACATCCTGTTCTTTCATCTTGGTGAGACTTCAATCACTTACATGTCTGTACTTTATCGATTTCCACAGTAAATGACCTGGTAAACTTTGAAGATGACAACTCAAGATACAGAAAGACAAATTACATAGACGAAAGAAAGATCTACATTTTGACTGTCATTTTTCTTTTACACTGTATGATTTTTTTTTGTATGATGAACCAATAGAAATAGTCCACAATTACATAGAATAAAATATTTTTACATTAACTTACATTAAAGATACATTATTATTATTATTATTATTATTATTTTATTCTTTACTCTTCTACAGTTATGAGGTTCTGTCCCAACAGTGATAATATTAATGTTAAGATTAATGTTAATATATAAATGCATCTGCAAAATGACCTGTTATGTGTTGTGATATCATATTATCATAGTTCAATGAGAATGCTTTGGTTTAGTACCTTTGTTCTCATTCATGTTGGTGTTTATCTGTAGAAATAACAGGTTGTTTTTCTCAGAATTTGTTTCTTTTTTTCCTCAGACTTCATCACATGTATGTTACATTATTAAGTGACAATTAGGGATGTTTAGAGAACCTTCAGAGTTTAAAAACAACTGAAACATTCAAGAACAATGTTCCATTGATCTTTCTTCTTTCTTGTATTTGTAATCTTGTAACTTAATTCATTAACTTGCAATACGTTATCCATTAATAGGCATGACTGATCGATTGATTGATCTGTCTTAAACTGAGAATATGTATGATCAGAGTAATATCCACTATCTGCCATACTGAGCTGTACTTTCTCAAGCCTTTACCTCTTCTGAAAGTGTACTTCCTGTCTGGCAAACCGTTTTCACTGATGCTCTGTGTTGCCTTTGAGTTTTTTCCCCGTCTTTCTCAAATGGCTAGATCTTTGGTAGATGTCACCTCTCACTACTTGCATGTTCTTCTCTCTTTTCCTATCGTTCCCTTTTGTGCATATGACACAATGGCTGGCTGAACTGTTTTTCTCAAATTGGCGAAAGTCATGGATGCCTGTCTTTGACTAGCTTCAGTGGGCCTTAAGCCTTAAAGAGAGTGAAATTAATCTTATAACTATATTTGCTGTAAACCTGCTCAAAAAATTAACAATATCATTCTTTATATACAATTTTACTCAACAATACTCAACAGTTTTAGAGTTTTTATTTGAAAATGGCTCTTTACAACAGGAATCCACTTACACATGACTCCTGTGTGTAGGACTGGCTAAATGACAACAAGAGTAACAATGCTTCTAAACCTATCACACAGTGGGCTCTTAGCAGACTCTCGCTCAGTAGCCTCTGGGACAAAACAAATGAAGGCATCCTTGGACACCTTTCATAGGCCTGGCACTCCCAATGATGCAATTAGAGCACAAAGTCATTTCATACACAAATGAGTGAATTCTGAATTTTTAAGATATATATTACTCAGAACAGCATACAACTCAAAATATTAATTTTGTTTAATTGTAAATATCACTTTCATTGCAAAGTGAACTGCCCATGTCTGTGGACACCAGCACAATTGTTTTACAGTGGGTTTCTAAGCATCCTGTCCCACTCCATGTATATAAACATATATATACATACAAACCTCATTTCCAAAATAGAGGAGATGTTGTCATGTTGAAATAACATGGATGTCCCTGAAAAAGATGTCGTCTAGAAGGCAGCATGTAATCACTTTCAAAGCAAAACTTTATGTCTCCGTTTTTGAGATTTTCTTTTTTTGGTATTTTTTATTTGAAAATGCCAGCTTTGCCCTTTACAATGGGTTTCATGATAATTAGACCAAAAGAAATGTGCCAAAATGACGATGAAAAAATGAAAAAGTTACCATTGTGGAGATACAAAGTTTTATTGTGGCAACTTTATGTCACTACAAAATGTGTTTCTTAGCATTAAAGGTGCCTTCATAGATGGGTAGTTACCCATGCCATGAGCCCTGTTACACCCTCACACTGCAACAGATGCTAGAGTTTTAACTGGGTGGTCTTTTTCTTCTTTTGCCTGGAAAACATGTTATTTCCACACATCATTATTAGTTTTTTCTTGATGTTACAGTCATATGTGTCATTAATGAGTAATACTGATTTGTCGTCACACTTTGTGTTGTCAGTTTATTAATTGATATATGTTGTGTATGTTTACTTCATGTTGGATTTATTTTATGGAACACCATGACTTTGAATACAGATGGTAAAATACAGAGTTTGAAATCATTAAACTTGACATATTATTCTTTGGTTTCTGCGTAGTTATAGTGTCCATTATTTTATCCTTTTTTCATTGTGGACACAATCATGCTATAAATATGTATCGTGTTTTACACGCATTTTATCTTCTGTATGTCTTGCTGTTGTCAAATCGCCTATAACCACTTATACTTGATGAATGTAGCTGAATAAATTCTTTCATAAATATGACTTTGTGCACGTTTTCCTTTACATACAACCTATTCTACTGTAAGTAGTAGATTTTTTTACAGTACAGCTGTTTGTAATATGCATTAGTATCTTACATGTTATTCAACACATGGCATTCCTCCGTATAGAATCTCTCCAAGTCCTTCAGATTCAGATGTGGAGCTCATCCCACAGGTTTTCTAAGGGGTTAAGGTCAATCAACTGGGGTTGCCAAAGCAAAACCTTAATTCTGTGGTCAGTGAGCCATATTTGTGTTAATTTTGAGGTGTGCTTTGGATCATTGTCCTGCTGGAAGATCCAGTTAAAGCTTCCCAAACATTCTTCACTGCTGTCCACAGGACCATAGTCCATAATGCATAATCCATAGTCACTGGATTTTTTTTTTTCCACACATTTTCCTATGTAGCCCCACAAGATCTCAGTGGGTTTTAAACGTTGCCTGAATTTCACTAAATGAATTGCGTGGCATCTTGACTCTTGTTGAAATATCCATCATTTGTTGTGGTTCTCCTTCTTTAAGTAGACAGGACAGCAAAAATAGTCACTTAGCATCAGTGAGCAATTCTCTTTAACTGCTATGTATATACAGTGGCCCCCAAAAATACATGGACATTTGTGCCATATTTAAAAAACAGTCCCAGACTTTGCTGTTTCCACCTGTGTGCTTTACAGTAGCCTTTCTGCATTCTGACTGGAGTTCTTCTCCAGGCTCCCCCCACACAAAGAGTCGACCATCAGTCTGATGTTGTGCTAAAGTGTTCTTTCAAAACAAATATCACTTTTTCGCAACCCAAAGAACTTAAATTTTAACAGTGATTAAATTGCACATGGGCCTATAATTTGTGTTATGAAGTGTGTGTGTGGGTGGGGGAGTCGTTTGATACTGACATTTGTAATGTCAGTGTCAGAAATCCAACAACAACTGATAAGACGCAGACAATATCTTATCTTAAAGTCCTTGTGTGAAACAGAGACCTTCAGTCAAGGCGAGAGAGGAGCCATAAAACTAGGAACCTTTAGTCAGCGTTATCGTTGCGGACGGACTGTTTTAAAATGCGGACGCTGCTCTGTAGTGCAGCAGCTTGTGGAAATTCAAATGTTTATAAACGCTTATAAACTTCACAGATTTATTTGTTTAATTTATTAATGTATTCGTTTGCAGGCTCAGTACGGTCTCTGTGGATATTTTAGAGAGACGGTAGCCGGAAACTGCAGCTTGCTAAGTGAACTTCTGAGCAGTTTTAGCAAACGAGTGAGTTTCACATTGGGTTAACACTGGAGGAGCTGCTGGAGGGAATCGAGCAAAGTCTGATTCAGAGAACTGCAGAACTGAGCTGTCGGGGCTTTTCTGCCTGTGCTCGCCAGCTGGATGAGATTTGAGTGTATGTGGGACAGACTGAACAAACAAACTGTGCTGGTCTTTGGTACTTTTTGTAATTTTCATGCACGGTTTGTCTTCATGGCCATTTAGCCTTCATTAACAACTCTGCGGTTCTGCAGTGTTTTCAGTAATCTTTTGCAGGTGGACATTACTGAGCAGACCAAACCACCTAAAAGCAGGCAAAAACCTCCAGGATCTCAGTGGCTTCATAAGCAGCTTATCTTTCAACAGCTAGGTTAGAGCAGTCGTTATTCAGGACTGCGACTCAGTCTCACATTCATTTCAAGCACTTCAAGTCTCCATGGATTTGTGAACGTGAGAAATATGAAGGGGTCCTTTGTTACTCTGCGTTGCATGCTGCAGACATCCAAGTATCACGGTATCTTCTCATCTCTGGGTAAGTTTTCTTTGAAATGCTGCCATGGCAGTTAGAAACCCCCCCTCCACCTCACTCCCACTCTAAAGGCAATACGTAAATAGTCTGCAAATGGAGATCTGTTATCTAGATGGTAGTTGTATGTAAATGTTTTAAGGTCTTTAGTTTGATATTGGTTTGGAGTCTGTTTAGTCTATACATCCAACTGAAATTCATACAAGGCCATTCAAAGTGCAGATGGTTATCTTGAAAAAACTTTCATGGCCTTAAAAGACTATTGTACATTTTCTATGAAACTCCAGTACATCCAGATGATCATTTTAGGTTTGTGCTTCTGCTACTCAGCTTTGAGACTTGTATTTATTTCAGTCATTGAAATTCAGACCTTAGTTTGCCAGTGTTCAAAGTACAGATTTTTCAAGCTTGCAAAGCCATAATAAAAGCAATATCAATACTAATGGTAAACGTTATTTGTATTTCTTCTTATTATTATTATTTTATGCTAATTTTGAAGCTTTTTTTATACATTAAAATGCAGTTCAGTGGGCTTCTAAACTATTCATATAGGGCAAGCGTAAAAAAAAACATAAAAATGCAAAAGTAAATGACAACTCAAAGAAAAGTCTTGCTTTGCATTTACAAAAAAAAACAGAAGGTGTCTGACAGATTTGAAAGAATTCAAGAGTAAACACAAAAAGCTGCTTGTCTACTTAGGCTTTATACTAGGAATACTATACTATACTAGGGATTTCCAGCATGTCGGGACACTGTGGTCAAATGAAATAATTTAACATTAATACATTAGTTGTAAACATCACTTGACTCTTACACTGGTGACTCAGCAGTCCCTAGAGTGAGATTTGAAAGTCAGCCCTCTTCTGATAGCATGTCTAGAGAGTGGGAGTAAACTTTGAAAGACAACTAACATTTTATGGCAGATAAATGAGAGCAGACTCTTGGGATTTTTATTTTTTTATTTTTTTTTATTGCTAGCTCACTTACTGAAAACATTGGATTAATGCAGATGGAAGCCAGACAGCTAGCTGAATATCTTACTGATAGCTGAATATCTGGTTGCAGTCATATAACTTTGCCGTTTGCAAGTCATCATAATGGAAAGCGCTTTGGTAACTGACGTGTCATATTAGATGAGGAGGATGAGTTAAAAGGTCAAGGTCTTGCAATCTGGCCTAATTTTTCTAAGGGGGTCTTGTCTCTAACGTCTGTTTTGTGTTAAGTAAGGATGAGATCATAATTTCCTTTACATATATTCTGTTTGCAGATCCCAGTAATTTGACTTTTAAATCTTGTAGATCTAAAAAATATTGTACATTTACATCTTGTAGTGCTCCCAAAAGCATTCCTTCCTGGGCAGGGAATCGATTTTCAGTGTCAGGTCAGTGGTGTTATACATAAGGTTGTTCAACAGCTTTAGATTTAACTTCTTCGTATTTTCCACACATGGGTATGCTGCACTTAATTATATTTTATAAAGAAAAAAGCTGTTTTGTTCCATGACTTGAGTGCTATAACACTAATGTAATGGATATTTTCATAAGATTAGGATGTATTTGTGTGCTAGGGATTTGTAGTGGTTGTTTGTCATGTTTGAGTAAGGCATGTTGGGTATTGCAGTGTTAGAACACAGATGGATCAAAACACAACATTCCAAAATTGTGGATTCTGTGGTGCCAAACTACTTATAGCTTTAAAAACTAATAAAAGAACGTAATGTAAGTGTATTGTACATGTAAGTTTTTAGTATAAACTACAGTGAAGTGAAACACTTTTGTTTTTGTGATTTTATATACTTTCACTGCATAACTCCACCTCAAACCTACTTACAGTGTCTTTGTACTTATAAATATGAACATAAAATATGTATTCTTGAGCATAAACAAAGATTTGAAGGTTTGAACAAAACTCATTGGAAAAAGGTATTGAGACACCACGAATTAATAACGTTAGTTCTTTGTTGCAAAGGCATTTGTTGGGAATTACAGCTTTGAAATTTCAGCCTTAAGAAGTAATTGACTTTTTGCAGCATTGTGGTTCAGTTTTTTCTCACTGTCTTAAATTCCCCAAGGTTACAAGTGTTTCTCTGTTGGACTCACAATTTCAAAACCCTCCCTCAATTTTCAGTGGGATTCAAGTCAGGAGAGTTATTTAGGCTGTATGTTTGGGGTCATTGTGTTGTTAAAACATCCTTGTCCTCCCCAAGTTTAATTACTTGGTCAGTAGGAGAAAATTCTCCTCTATTATGTCCTGGTAGATTTGTCAATTCATGTTTCCTTCGATGATGTGTAATGCCCCAGTACTGTTTGCAGAAAAGCAGACCCATATCATCACACTCCCGCCTCCGTACTTCACTGTTCTTGGGATCATAAGCACAGCCCTTCTTTCCCCAAACATAACAAGCTTCTTTATTGTTAATGGGTTCTAGTGTTGTTTCGTCTGACCAGAATACATTGTCCTAAAAGAGTTCTGATTTGTATGCAAAAGGTAGACATGTGTCTCTGTGCCCTGCGCTTTATTTATTAGCAAGCGTTTTTTAGCGCTTTGTTTTTGCGTAGGGTGACTGAAGTGCCGGCCTTTATTTGTAGCTCTCTGTGTAGCTTTTCTTGCTGCTTACAGGTCATCATGCAGCTCTTTCCAACAGTCTGCTGGCTTCTCCCTTACTGTCTCTATCATATTAGTCTGAGAGAAATCTTGCATGTAATTTTTATTTTTGACACATTAATGTGTAAAATTTGATATATTTTTATTTTTAACCTTTTTAAAAACATTTTGTTTATTTTGTATAGTGACTGAATACTTCTTTCACTGTTAATTTCATTTTAACTCCATCTTTGCTTATGAACACATACTTTGTTCATATTTCTAAATACAATGTCAAAAGATATTATATTTGTAAATTTTAAGTAAATGTGTGTACTGGAAGTATATAAAATAATAAAAAAGTGTCTGAATTCTTATTTCACCTCATTGTAATAGCTGTTAATAGTCGTTTAAGATGGTGAAGTCAGTAGGGTGTTGCACTAATGTAGGTGATAAAAGACAAAATCATAAAACCTCTTATTATTATGCACTGTGACAAAGCATGTTCCCAGAGTGAACATTACTGAAATGATGATGAAATCCAGAGCCAATAACAATACCAAATTTGGGTTTGGCCTGCAGATCCAGATTCCCATGTTCACTAAATGTTTTCCATTTAAAATGTTGTTTTTGCTTTACAAGTTGAACAGCTTTAACAGTGGTTCCACATCCTGATCCTGGAGTACCCCTGTTTTGCATATTATGGTCTTTTCCATGCTCTAACACCCTGGAACCAAGACATCAGGTAAAGAACAAGTCCTTCCTTAACTGATGTGGGTATATAGGAGCTGGAAAACACACAAATGTGCAGGACAGAGGTCCTACAGGATCAGGATGTGGAGCCACTGGATAAAAAAAAAACAAAAAAGAACAGAAAGACCAATCCAGATTGGAGATAATTGCAGATTTTTTTTTTAGCTAGTTTGAAGAGAGAGAAATGCTGCCTAAACAATTGGAAGGAATAGGACTGAACTTTGTTTGTTTCCTCTTTAGCTCGGAGACTGTCTTCAGCCAGTGGGCCAGGACCAAAGGTGTGCATAGTGGGAGGTGGTCCAGCAGGGTTTTACACAGCACAGCATCTCCTGAAGGTTAGTTCCCATTCTGTGTCACATTTTGTCAAAGCAATGAGTTATGAAGAAAATTAGCATCATGTGGTTGGAAGCCAAGGCTGCTTTAGAATAATTATTGTTGGAGCTTTGAGTAGGAGGACTTAGCCAGCTAAATTTAGTAAAAGGAATAATTGTCAACAGGTGGAGGACCAAGTTATGAATAAAAGGTTTTTTCCATCCAGCATTCATTTTTTATTGCATAATAAAGATGTACTCTCGATTGAACGTGTGCCGAAATCAGCAGGAGGTGCCAGGCACTGTGCCAGCATAATGATGAAAGATCATAAGATCGCTCTCTTGCTCTCTCTCTCTTTCTCTTTCTCTGTGCGTGACAGAAAGGCTCTCTAAGTGAAAGAGTGAGATCCAGGAGTCAGCCACACTAATGAAAGACTAGTATTCATTAGTGTCTAAATATAACAGCATAAGAATTTATGATACAACATACAAAACAGTTTGTCAAAAAAAATGATGTTGTTATATTATAATTCACAAAAAGATGAGTGCAGAAGTAACTAGGCATACTTGCAATGGCATCTGGCAGAGAAGAATTCAGAAACGAAAGAAAAACAAAAAAAAGTAAACAATGCTGCTGAGCAAGTTCACCCAAATCAGTTTACTTGCAAGAAAGTCAAGAAAAACAATTCCAGTTTTTTTTTTACCTATAGTTTACATATGTAAATGTAAACACTACAATGTAAACCACAAAGACAGCTGAAACAGAGATATAATGATGCTTCAAAAAAAGAGAAGCATAAGCAGATAATGCTGAATATTCAACACCTTTTTACTCACTTCACTGAGCTACCTAATAAAAGGATAAAGAAAAACAATGACCAAAGGTAGTGTAATCTGCAAGCCTGTTTATGAACAGAGGTGATACAGGACATTACAGTTAGATAATGGTTTTTGCAGGTTAGAGACCTGTAACCTCTATACAGATTCAATTCATCGTTATTGTCATTATACATATACAGGGTTACAGATGGTAGCATGGTAACATATGCAGGAAATTAAGATACTTTGAGATACTCTTCAATAGCCACGTTTACATGCAGCCTGATAATCCGTTAATAATCCGACTAATAGCTCAATCGGAATAGAACACGGCCATGTAAACACCTCAATCGGAATAGACTAGTCCGATTGAGGCCATTCGGAATACAATTTCTATCCGATTGAACGAGGTGGGTAAACTTCTAAATAATCCGTTAAATAGAAGAATAATAGCCATGTAAACGCCTGAATCCGATTACATTCCAATCGGAACGTGTAAGTATGTTCTGCGCCTGTGCGTCGCGTCAAGGCGAAAGTTTATACCGTTCAGCATGGCGGAGCAGAAACGGGTCTGCAGAGGAGACGAAGTTTATGCTCTGAGCTTTAAAAGACGGCGGTGGGACGGACGTCCAGCTTATGAGTCTCAAAACACGTCTTCCTCTCGCCGCTTCCTTTATAAGCACATGTGAAGCACGTTTTCCTGAGTCTGACATCATTTTAAAGCAATTAAAACCCAAGCGCGCCAACTGGAAACTCATATCACGCGGGCTGGACCTCACGTGATGTTCGCTGTCATGGTAACGTTTACTCTAAACGCTACTCCACGCATGCGCGTCATTTTGCATCGGATTACTTGTAGTGAGCATGTAAACGAAGATTTTCCATCAAATCGTTGAATAGAGTGTGCATATAAACACCTCAGTCTGAATCTGTAATTGGATTGTATTCAATCGGATTGGCAAAAATCTTTGCATGTAAACATAGCCAATGATTCTCACTGGATTGACCTCTGATACTTTATAATTATAGTAGTAGTTTCTCACAGGAGGAGGGGTTTTTAGTCTTGATTTCTCGCAGCATTTGTTCCTCATGCTCTTGGGAGGTTCTTCCTGCTACTGTCACCTTCGGCAACACTCGTTACGGCTTTCTATAAAGCTACTTCGTGACAATGTCTTGTGAAATTTGCCATATAAATCACAACCCTAATACCAAAAAAATTGGGACGCTGTGTAAAATTGCAAATCTTATAGACCCACATTTTATTCACAGTAGAATATAGAACACCAGATGCTGAAAGTGAGACATTTTGCCATTTCATGAAAAATATTAACTATTTAGAACTTAATGGCAGCTACGCATCTCAAAAAAGTTGGGATAGGGGCAGTCCAGACCTTTCACCAGTAGAATACATTTGGTGCATCATGAAATGAAAAATCTGGCAAAGAAGACCCAGGACTGTTGAGCAGCTAAAATCCAACATCAAACAAGAATGGGACAACATTCCTCTCCCAAAACTCCAGCAATTTGTCTCCTCACTTCCCAGACGTTTACAGATTGTTAAAAGAAAAGGGGATGCTACACAATGGCAGACACGGCCCTGTCCCAACTTTTTTGAGATGTGTTGTTCCATCAAGTTCTAAATGAGTTGATACTTTTCACGAATGGTAATATGTCTCACTTTCAACATCTGATATGTGCTCTATGTTCTGTTGTGAATAAAATATGGGTCTATGAGGTTTGCAAATCATTGCATTCTGTTATTATTTAAATTTATTTACATTTCACACAGTGTCCCAACTTTTTGGGGTTGTAAATCATAGTACTGTATTGTGCAAACAATAATAACAGCCTAACTTTTGTAATCTGACAGACTGTGTCTAAATAAGATTTTAAAAAGCTATTTAATTGCGCACTAAGTGTTTGTTTTCTCAAGAAAATACTACTAATAAAATAAATACAAATAACAGTACTACAGTAAATAGAGATTTTATGCATGACATCATGTTTGTTTATCCATTTCTAAATCTCTGCTCATTGCAGCTCAGTATTATTTGTAGTTTTCATCCAGTACCCATGTAATAATTATGCTGGAGGTAAACAATGACCTGAGGGATTGAGAAGAACTAACCCTCTATACATCTCACAACATCTTAACTTCTACTTTGAAAAACAAGAAATTCTTCTGCCATTTTACTGTATTTGTTTATTTGTATTTATTCCAGTATTATGCAGTGTTTTTACTGTGAAATGCAGATTGCCCAGATAAATAGCTTTAACCCATTTGTTTGGGTATCTAATTTCTTTGCACAGTACTGCACATAGTCATATTACACATAAAGTTCCACTTTGTTGTTTACCTCAACGGGAGGTCCAATAATTTTTTTAGTCCAGACCCCCAAAATTTGTAATCCAAGCTATTATGCCCTGAACATAACATGTTGAGAGGCATCAGCCACTTCTCGAATGCATCTCTGCTTCTCTGTGACCAAGCTTCCAGGTGCTGTGTACTGGTGCAAAACACTCTTCTGATATTTAAACTTTCTTTCCTCATCCCTTCTTTTTTCATCTCATGCTTGTTACTCCATTAACTTCAATTGAGATTTCAATGCTTTCTTCCTCCTGCAATTTATAAAGTAGAACCAACGACTCTAAATCTGTCTTGTTTTATGTGCCCACTTATGTGTTTTATCCACTTTTTACGCTTTCCTATTTAGAATTCCCCCATTATCTGAGTTAAACCCACATGTTTTGATATTCTTTGAATTTTTAAGCCTGGGCCATCACGCTTGATTCACACATCTTGATGTATTATACTTGATGCCACTGAATCATCATCGTCCTACTCAAACCGCGTGACTTCACTATGCTCTGAATAGTGCCAAGCTTTAACCACTGAATGTGATAAATTTTGTACTTTTGACCCAAAGTATTATTTTTCATTTTAGTATTATTTTATTTCACACTGATAATGACTAATGATATTTTTCAACGTTGGAAAGATAACAATGTGATATTATCTTATACAAAAATAATTACCAACTACAGTATACATTATGAAACCAAACACTGTGAGACAGTTTGTAGCTGCAATACTTTCTTTATTGTATAAATGCTTACATGCACTCTAGTCGCTCCTTCTTTTGTCATTTTTGTTATTATTCACTCCCCCCTGCCACCCCCTGCCACTTGGATGGGTTACTGAGCTGATGCTTATGGACTGTGGGCAACAGATAATCTTACATCTGTCAGTCCAACAGAGCACAACAAATGAGTGAAAAAGGAAACCATTACAAAATAGGCCTAGTAATCAGCAGCAACACAGGTTGGCATGTACATAAAAAAAAAATAGACTTGCTTTGTGCGGATGTTACTATCACATTCTTTACAGCATGTTACCAGTAAGACTACACTGATAAACAAATGAGTAAATGAAAGCACTGCAGCAGTGGTGCAATTACCGTGGGGTTTTTCCTGTTTTTTTTCCTTCAAGGGTTATTTGCACCATTCAAACTTGTAGTTAATTTATCTTGAGGGTGGGTCCAGTACTTTTATACTGGAATGCCGCCCACGCTTAGCTACAATCTTAGACACATGTTGACCTGTAAAACAAGGCTGCACTTTATACTGTGATCACCTATACTTGGTTATATGCTATTCTAATCTAAATCAAATAATGTTCCACTTTCCCAGCTTAACATTCATGGCTGTGGAATTTGAGTGGATATGAAGCCATGTGTTGAGGTCATTTCTGGATCTCTTTTGAGGACAATGTCAAACGTTCTAGAGAATTTCTGACCATGTCAGAAGGGGGAATCAAACTTAAAAAAAAAAAAGAGTTTGTACACCTTGTGAGAATAATTGCCATGTTGTTATGCCGTGTGTGAAAGTATATGTGCTATGCCTCAGGCCCGGGATGACGTGGTTGTGGATGTCTATGAGCGACTGCCCGTTCCGTTCGGCCTGGTTCGATTTGGAGTGGCCCCAGATCACCCAGAAGTTAAGGTCAGTTTTCTTTGCTTTGGGGACAACAGCTGACAGCAGTGAGCAGGATCAGGTAAAAAATTGATGTTCAGTGTTGTCAGTTCAGTGAAAAATCAGGTTTACAGACTTTTTCACTTACTGAAGATGTTGCTGTTCAGTCAAGACAGGTTTGATGTGCAAATCTTCTTCTTTAGTTTAGAAGTCAATAGGCACCCAAATCTTTTTTTGTTAATACATCTCCAAAATAACTCTCAGCCCTCAAACATCCAGCTGTTCATCAAGGTTGCACAGACTTGTCAATGTGGTTTAGTGCATAGTATGACCTCCTGTGAACAATGAAAATAAACAAAACTTCATGTAGCTGAAAGCTGTGGGCAATTTTAAACAGTATGTTTGCTGCCAAATTGCAACACACATTTGAACATAAGATATTGTCTGATCTTAAGTCTACATCTGGGTTAAGTGGAAAAATGTGTAAATGGTTTTTTTTTGTTTTTTTTTCTTTTTTTAGCAGACCATTTCTTTAAGTTGTATAGTCTGTTTAAGCTTGTAATGGGCCTCCTTTTGAGGTCTATTATTACTGGCTTATTTTCCCTGCATGCTGCTCTGAACTGTTAAAACAAGAACTGTGGTTACATCTTGCATCAGTAAACAACAGCAACTGGGTCAGCTTCTCATAGTCTAGCAGGAAATGTTCTTCATATTTAGCATTTGCAAGGATAAAATAACCACACACTGGCACAAATGTCAATATAAGCATGCCATTCTTGTGGGGGAAAAATGGGTTTTGTGAAGTTTTAGATGATTGATGAGTCAATCTTCATTGCATATCCCTTCCAAAGCTTTGTTTTCATAGCTTTAAAGCTGTAACCACAAAACTTTCCAGAAGTTCCCATTGGTGTTCCTTGTGCTTTACAGAAAGATATCTCACTCGCATTTTCAACACATTACCTCACTCACATTCATCTGTCTACCTGCCCACTATCTGTTTACCCCAGGCTTCAATGGGCAGTTTTTTTAACCTGCTCCTCTTTTGACATCTTTCAAGACAAACCAACCAAACTTGCTGTGGAGGTTCTGAATACTGACACAAAGTACTGTTTAACTAATTCACTTTTACCCCTCCTTTGTCCCTTCGTTTTTGTCTCTCACTTCGTGTTCCGTTGAGTTCATTTCAACTTCATATTGAATATTTCAGTGCCTTTTTTTCCCCATTGTTTATAAAGGAAACATTCATAGGTAGAACACATAAGTCTGCCTTAACTTAAGTGTACAATAATTTGTTTTCCACCACTCTTATTTTAATCCTTTCTTTTTTTCCCTTCCATTATGAAAGCTGTTTTGGTACTCTTTTAATCTCCAGGGTAGTGATATCATGTTTATAAAGGCATAAAGATTCAACTGCTGATTTACAAGCTGCATTTTATACTATAGTTCTTTGTGTCTATTTAACTCTTTTTGTCTCTGATAACGACTGATTTTATACATAAATACACGTTTTTATAGGTTCTTTTCATTCTTTGAACATGTAAAGGAACACAAAGTCTGTCTTAACTTAAGAATACAGTGATTTTTTTTTTTTCCCACTACCCCTCTTTATTTCTTTCTTTTTCATCCTTTTATCATCCCAATGAAACTTCTTTATTACTTGTTTCATTTAAGGCAAAGATCTCACATTATAAATGTATGAAGAATCAACTGCTGTCTTAAATCTTTTCTTTGCATTTCATACTAATCACACTTGTTTCTCTAACCTTTCTTTCTTTTATCCCTTCATCATCACTCTAAAGAATATTCAAAAGCTCACCCAATATGTGCAGTTGACCCAAAGCATGTCTATCTGTCTATCTATCTGTCTATCTGTCTATCTATCTATCTATCTATCTATCTATCTATCTATCTATCTGTTTTACTGCCTTTGCTGGATTGGTTATGTCTGTTATCTCATTACAGACAGCCACAGCACTGATTGAACTTAAAGTTGTTTATCAAAATGGTGGCAGCACGATTGTGACGTTATTGGAATATTATGCATTGACCATCAGATGACGGCTTCCGTCAGAGTGACATATGATCCCCCTCAGCAGCCCTCACCTTTACCCTTGAGAAGGAGGTCAAGGTTCATGAACGTTAATGTTTTTGCTTTCTTCTTAGAACGTCATTAACACATTTACGCAGACGGCCCAGCACGAGCGCTGCTATTTCTACGGCAACGTAAACGTGGGTACGGATGTCAGTGTGGAGGAGCTAAGGAAAGCTTATCATGCTGTTGTACTTGTGAGGACCTGTTTCACTCATTGCATTGATTCAAATTGGATTGAATATACATCATAAACCTTGTTGAGGAAATTTGTCTTGGACTCCCATCACAAGAGCAAGGAAACACACATTTAAAATTTAGCTGTCCTACTGCACAATCATAGACATGCATGTATACACTGACCATTCCGAAGTCTTTTGTATGATGTAATAAAGCGGTCAGTTGATCTAAAGAAAAAAAATATAGAAATACTAAAACCGTAAATGCTATTAAGTGTACTGTATAAATACTATGAATTCTATAAGTACCATCACAGTCTATGAGAAATTCTTAGTTTGTTTGCGAGTTTTGCAGCTCAGTATGTGTGCATCCACACCTGATTTGTTTTATGTCTAATATTATTATTATTAATATTATTATTAGTAGTAGTAGTAGTAGTAGTAGTAGTAGTAGTAGTGCTGTTAGTATTATTAATACTACTATTATTAGTACTATTATGCAATATTGTTGCAATGATAATAATTTCATTAAATGAATGTACATAATACTATTATGTAGTTTAAATTATGTAATTAATATAATCAGTTTCAATTTAGTTGATGACCAGAATTGACATATTGTGTTTGTTTTCTGTTGTTTTTGTTAGCTTATTAAAATGAAATGTAATCATTAGCACATACAGTCTATATGGAAAGAAACTTTAATTTTATTTTAAAGATAATATTTTCAGTGTTATACTTTGATTAATAACACAAATGTTAAAAAAATGCAAAGACTAGAAATGTTTTGTTAGATAAATGATGCATTCTGTCAAACCTAGATGACACAACTTACTGCTGTTCCCCTGAATTTCTGCTGGCTGTCTATAGCTTTCATCCTGTTATCATCCTGTTTATGCTAAAGTCAAGCGTATGCATATGTTTAGCTTTATAATAAATGGACACCGTTGTTAAGTGGAGCATTATCCCCCACCTCAAAGATGAACCTTCTCATTTCTGTTTGCCCAGAGTTATGGGGCAGAAGCGAATCGTTCTATGGGAGTTTCAGGGGAAGGCTTGGCTGGTGTGTTCACAGCCAGAGATTTTGTCGGATGGTACAACGGACTTCCCAGCAACAAAGAGGTAACACAGAGCTTCTCCGAAGAGTCACTCTTTAATGAGAGTCACTCTTTTGTTTTTAAGGCACAGTCTTGAAATGTGAAATCATATGAGCCACAAAGCACACAGCCATGCAGTGCTGGAGTCACTGACGGCTGAGGGTGAGAGCTTGATATGAAGAGTTTCTTTGTGCCCTTAGAGTAGTGTTTCCTAACTCACTCCACAGGGCCCCCACACCCGGTCCACATTTTTGCTCCAACTCACTTAAAACACATAGTGAGGAAGGACAAATGAGGACCATCTGCCGGGCCCTGAGGTCCAAGTTCGGAAGCACTACCTCAGAGCTTGTTATAGCCTGTCTAGATTCCATCTTTAATTTGTCTGCCTTCCCCGTGTTCTACGTGCAGCTCCAGCCAGATCTGAACTGTGAGACGGTGGTGATTTTGGGGCAAGGCAACGTGGCGCTGGACGTAGCCAGAATCCTGCTGTCTCCTCTGGACTTGCTGAAGGTTGCTACACCACAAATCCACCAAATATATACAGTATTGTGCACAAGTTTTAGAAACCTGAGAAAAATTGTATTTAAAAGTGTAATAAATACAGATTGTCATTGTTTTTGTTCAACCCTTTCCAAACTTCTTGTCATGGCAACCCAGCACTGTTTGCAGTTATCATTCAACACTTTGTGTTGCTAAGGGGCTAATGAATCCTTCCTTATTCTTTAAAATAGCTCAACTGTATATGCGTATATACTGTGTAGATATTTATATATACACATATGTATACATATAAATTACATTTAAAATACATTATATAAAGATTCTATACCAGGTAAAGAGTCTATATCTTGCATTTTTCATTTATGTAATGTTTCCACCAAGGTCCACTTTTCTGCGTTTATGTACCAAAACCAGTTTTAATTCCTTATCCCTTCGAATTAGACAAGCTGTTTTTGTAACTCTGGCTTTAAAACTTGTATATGTAAATTAGCTCTGTTCTATTTGGCTGTATTTGTGCTACATTCAAAAAAGCAGTTTAGGCTGAAACACTCCTTATAGCTTCAGCTAATCTGCTGTAGGCTGAATAGGTGGACACATATAAGTGTTTTTGGTTTTCGTAACGTCACAAAAACGATGAACTCAAGACACACCATTTTTGCAGCTTAATTTCGGTATATGGACTGTGTGGACTGGCGAGTGAATGGTACATTTTGAAACTTTATCAGTGTTTACATAATACATTAAACTTTTTATTTTAAAAATGAGGATTTTTTTAAATATTTTTAATTATAAGGGCCTTTTAATGGTTTTTTGTGTGCTGCACATCCAAGCTAAGAACCATTTAGGAGCCTTTATTTTAAGAGTGTGTCTGTAGGAATATAACTGTAGAAATGTAGTTTATTTGTTGGTACATGCTTATGTAAGCCACATTTTCTCTTTCATTAAGTTCTCCAAAGAGCTGAACAAATGTGTCACTGTTGGTACAGGCATTGCACAATGTAACATGCAGTTTTGCTCTTTTTACACAGTTGTTCTCAAAGGCCCTTTATGCTAGCTTTTCTGTCGTTGCCTGTATTGCATTGGTCTTGACCCCAGTGGCCTCCTGGGGTAAGTGTTATTGTAACTCCACTAACTGAACCCCGTTTCGTTTCTACAGAAGACAGATATTACCCAGCATGCACTAGATACTCTTGCAGCCAGTCGAGTGCGCAGGGTTCTAATAGTGGGACGAAGGGGGCCTCTGCAAATCGCATGTACCATTAAGGTATTACATCTTTCGCTCTTTATTATTCTGTTCCTCTGTCTAACCTGTCTTTATTTCTTCTCTTTTTAATCCCCCCTTACTCTTTCACCCACTTTGTATCACCACTTTCTCTTTTTGTCTTTTCTTTCTCCCTCTCTCTTACTGTTTCTCTCCCTCTCTACTGCTTGTTTAGATTAAGTGGGCTGTTCTTTTTTCATTGCATGCCTACATCAGCAGACAGACTAAGTCTTACATTTCCCTAATTCATCAAAGGAGTGAAAGCATCTGCATAACAGATGTTTATCCTAAATCCTCAATGAAGTAGAAAAAACACTTGAAGATTCAAGTTGACTAGACTTTGGAAGACAAACTCTTGATCTGCTACAAAGCACTGCTGAGGTGACTTAGGTACACAGACATTGTCAGGCTTTCTTGAAAGCGTAGCTTTAACATGTTTCTTGAAATTGCCAACTACATGTACCCTCTGTTCTTCTTTAGGAGGTGAGGGAAATGATTAACCTTCCTGATACTACAGCTGACATGCTTACCGCTGACTTTGAAGGTGTACCTGAGGCTCTGAAAGGTAGGAAAACCGAGTAGAACAATAGCACGTGACATGGTCAAAAATATATATTCACAATCACTTCAAAATCACTTTAATAAGACCATGCAAATATTTCATTAAATGTGTTAAATAGATAGGAACTTCCTTTGTCAACATGTGACAGGAAAAAGGAAAAACAAACAGGAGTTGTGCATTGATGATTTTTTGTTATTTTCACCATGTGTGTGCTATACATGGATCATACACTGAATTGTTTCAAACTGTAGTCTGACAGTAAATAAAAAAAAAAATATTCAGGTATTTAGGGGAATTATGTTATGATCTATTTAAACCTAAGACGTTCTTTGAAATAGTGATAAGCTAAATGTATCCATGATTTATAGCATACATACTATTGGGAGGTGTCTGTCACAAACCGTAACCCCTAAATTTTAACTTGTAAAAATAATACTTGCTTTTTTATTTTTTTAAATCTTGTTCGATTTCCTTTATAGTGACGTTGGAAGAGTTAGATTCATCATGAGATTAAAATTTAAATAAAAAAAAATACCTGTAAAAAGTGAAGAAAATGTTATCCCACATTTTTTGCTGTCATTACTGAAGTAGAAAGAGTTTTAGTCCATAGGCAGAGCTTTATTTTAGCCACACACCTGAATTTTAGCGCAGGAAGTGAGACTGCATCCCTGTGGCCATATGGTGAGCAATCAGATCCCATAGTTTTGACGTAAATGTGTCCCAAAGACTGAAAATCAGTGTCTAACATTAAGAATTGTCATTACCAAAACACAGATTTTCTGTAGTTAACCATTTTTTTGTGTTTTAATGAAAAATATTCAGATTTTTTGTGAGTACAACTGCTAAAAGCTGTGTTTGCTAGTCAGGTACTGGTTAGCGTTTTTGAGTTATGTTCAAATTTAGCTAAAATTGTCTTCATAGTGATATGGTTGTTTTGGTAGTGACAAAATGGAATGTTCTATAAATTGTTATAATACAGTAAATGTAATTAAGGTATAGGGTTATTCGAAACAAAGGATTTTAGTCAAAAGTCAGTTAAAATTCCAAAATTAATTTTTATCTCTGACTCGGACCAATTTGGTAGAATGATCCATAAACTGTATGTTCAAAAGTGCCATCCTGCTCGTTGAACATTTCTGCTGAAATCAGCGGCATTAAAAGGGAGTATATTCCCTCTTCCCTTCCCCTTCAGAGCAAAGCAAATGTATTTATGTAGCAAACTTATGTAGCACATTTCATACACAAAGCAATTCAGTGTGTTTTTCATAAATAAAAGCAAAAGAAAACATAGACAAAGTGCTTAAGAGTGAAAAACAATACAAATAAAAATATAGAGCTAAAAAGATACAAAGTGCAACAGTGTAATAGCTTAATGAAGGGTTTTAAAAGGAAGTGCAAAGTACATAAGCAAAATAAAAAACATAAGAATTTAATTGAAGAAAAGTGTTTGTGCTCTATACATTGGCACAGTGAATGTATTGGGTTGTAATCATCTGGTGAGAGAGTCAAGTATATCTGTGCATCATCTTAGTAACTATGGTAATCCGTGTTGTTGTTCTGTAGGATTTGACCTAAAGGCAGCATTTAGAGATTCAACAAAAAAAGTCCAAGAACTGATCCCTGGGGGCCTCTACATGCTGTAGCCACCTTATCTGATTCACAGCTGCCAATGATAACAAAGGAACTCCAGCCTTCTAAATAAGACCTGAACCAATTAAGGACTGTTCCAGAAGGTCCTACCCAATTTTCCAACCTGTCTAGAAGTATTCTATCGTCATACATAATAGAATATGCTGGACTAAGATATAGTAATGCGATAACTGGTATTTTACCAGAGTCAGTATTTCATTAACACCTTTATAAGAGCAGTTTCAGTATTGTGGTGAGGTCAGAAGCCTGATTGAAATTTGTCAAAATAACCATTTAAGATTAGAAACTTGCTGAGTTGATTTGCAAAAAAACTTTATCTTAGCTATAAAAGGAAGATTTGAGACAGGTCTGTAGCTGTTTAGTAAAGGAGCATCTTTTACAGAATGTATCAATGACAGTTGTGTTTGGTAACTTTGGGGAAAATGCCAAATCAGTTGCTACAGATTGAAAAATAGTCTTTAAAAAGTCAGGCGGCAGTTTGTCAAGACATGTTGATGATTTAAGATGCTGGACTGTTTTTGGATCGATTGTATTAACTTGTGACATAATAATCAAGTTTTTTTCTAGGTGATTGTAAAAACAGTATTCTTTTATTATTATTTCATTGCTGTGTGGTATTAATCAGCAATAATACAGTCCCTGGCAGGTTTCAGGGCCCCTGAACAATTTTGAGATTTCTTTTTTTTATAGTATTGTGCCCAGCACCTGAGAGGCCGTGGGAAGTAGTAGTGGGCAGTATGGGCAAAAATTCACATCTTTAAACATATCAGAGATGAATTCTATACAGAAATCATTCAGTGATTTATAGACTAGTAGCAGCGCTTTGAAATCTATTCTATTTAATGGGCTTTTTGGGAAGTCCAGTTAAGAGACCATTATGGTCGTCCACTCTGCTGGAAATAAAAGTGTGGATGAGTTTCTCTAGGTCTTGTTAGTACACCAAACTTTTGATTCTGGCTTTGTTTTTAGGATAGGAGGCTGCTTTGGTAGTTACTTTGATATGGCTAGTGAAGGTGAGATCCCAGACTATTAGAAGGCCAAGATTTTGGACTTTGTTTTTAGGGAATCAAGGTGTTTGCTAATATAAATTATCTTCTCTTTGTTGCCACAATAATCTCTATTTAATTAAGGAAAATTTGCCTAGTCCAGTTATTTATGTGCTCTATACATTGACACAGTAAGTGCTTCCAGGACCCCAGTAAGGGCTGTACTCATCTGTTAAGAAAGCCAGGAATATCTGTGCATCATCTGCATAACTATGATAATCTGTGGTGGTGTTCTGTAGGATTTGGCCCAAATGGAACATATAGAGATTGAACAAAAGAGGTCCAAGAACTGATTCCTGGGGGACTCTGCATGCCATAGCCACCCTATCAGACTCATAGCTGGCAATGATAATGAAGGAACTCCGGCCTTCTAAATAAGACCTAAACCAATTAAAGACTGTTCCAGAAAGCCCTACCCAATTATCTGATCTAGAAGTATTCTATGATCTACATAATAAAGAAGTCCCTTCACTTTTAATAAGAATCATGTTTAACAACTGAAGTAAATCTAAAATAGTTTTATTAGGAAAAATAGTAAAAACAATTAACAGTATATAGACCAATGTCCATATTGCTTTCTAACCCTAACAAGATAAACCCAAGTGTATGTAAAGCCCACATCCGCTTCTCTGAACCTGGCAAAATTGGTGCTGAGTGTTGTTTTACATCTGAAAGTCATTTGTCTCATAGGTGTGTTTAATTCAGTACATACTCAGCTTAACACAGTGTAGTGTAAAAACAGTGCCGTCAAGTCAACCACATTATTATTCCCTTGGCACGAGTTTACAACAGTGGAATGTGGCCTCCTGGAGCCACACTGTTAGTGAGATGGTTTGTTTTAAAATACTCCTGTTTTATTAAGAGCCAAATGCTTGAGAGTAAAGGCAACCACATTGCCAGGAAGGTGACAAGAAATCTAATAAATTATGACCCACAAGGGCATTATTTCTTTTAAAATAAACAAACCAACGAACTAACTGTTTTAACAGCTTTTTTGCTGGAAATAAAAACTATGTGTGGTGGTCATATGTAAAAATGAGCTGCCTCAAGGAGGACATGAAATAAATGCCATCCCCTTTGGGAGAGATAACCATAGTAGATAACAGACCCGATGTTCTTAGGATAAAAACATAACATACAAGACTCGTCATGTTTGTTATTGGAGATCTCAGCCGACAAGAGTGATGTTCTGACATCATGAAAGCATGTTGTAGCTTGTGCAGCAGATGGAGAGCAACTGCAGCCGCCTTGCCACCATGTGATTTGAATGTCATGTGACATGGTGATATTCTGCAGCGCCAATGAAAGTCGGACAGAATTTCTAACAAACATGCATTGTTTCAAGTCCAGCACACAAGTTAAGTCACTGCTGCGCAGGGCTGCATTAAGCCAACCGCAAGCATTAATAACTGCTGCACGATTTAAGGTGGAACAGGAAAATTCAAATGAGAAGCTGGCGAATAAGAAGCTTTATGGTTTTAATGCAAACAGTCAATTATTAAAAAGCCAGAAGATCTTGAAAAAGAAGAAAATGATCATGTATTTCATTTAAAGATTAACAGACTAGAATAGATTGGCATATATCAGATTACTCAGATCTCCACTAGGAAAGAAGACATTTCAAGACAGCTTTACTTATTTTAAGAATGAAATGTTTTGGGATGTTTTTTAAAGATTATAAAGTTAGACTTCTGCCCAGTTCAGTTCATAAAATAAGTACAGTTGACCTGAATTTTCTATTTTCATAGTGGAGAGCTTCTTTTCAGTTCTCTTAAAGTTTTTTATTTCATCTTAAGAAATCTGTGTAATTAGATAAATAGACTGAAGAGAATTGTAGCGAAAGTTTCTAAAAGCTTGCTGATTAATCTCATACATACGAGGCTAGTCTAGTCTGCTGATCTTTAAATAAAAAGCAAGATCTTTAGTTCATCTTAAAGATTTCATGTATGGTTTAGAGTTTTTGCAGTGTAAGTGTTGTTGTTCACTTGGCTTTCCAAACTTTTTAAATTGTACGTAGCTTAGAGAAACTGAGAGGCTGCATTATTCTGAAAGAAAACATGGCATTAGATTTGTAATTGCTTAGTTAACTCAGGAACTACGTCTGTTTTCAAGCACCTGCTTTTATGATGAATTGTGCTTTTATTTACTATTTTCTTTTATTTAAATGCTTCATTTACTGATTTCTGTTATTAGAGGGGGAATTCCACCATTTTTTTAAATTTCTGAATAATTCAGTCGTTGAGATGTAAACAGTCATCAAGAGTGCTTTGATGTGAAATGGTTGACTGTAGAGAAGCTTGACAGTGGTGGTGATAGGTCACATGTCTACAACGCAAATATATAGCCATTTTATTTACTAACCAAGACCACCAGTGAACCTACATGTCTTCTGTATTTTTATATGCAATCTTGATGATGGTGAAACAGGCATACATTTGAAAAAGTTTTCTTTGGGGACTGTTTTGCCTTACACCACCTTACATGTATCCCTTTGCCATGAATTGATTAAAATAAATCAATTAAAAAACTTCATCCCAAAATTATCATAAAACAATGTCTCGTACATCAGGTAGCATATATCTAAGCACGTCCTGTAATAACTTTCTGTGAGGGAGCTTTTAGAGGTGGACGTTTGGTTCCTATCACCACCACTGTAAACAATTCTGACTGTAAAAAATTCTCTAGAATGAAGCATTTCACACCAAACCACTCTAAATTACTGTGTTTACATCTTAACCACTTAATAATATAGAATTTCTTGAAACATCAGTGGAGTTGCTCTTTAAGTGTTTGTTATTTTGGCCATCACCAAGTTACCCGTTGGTTCAAACGTTAAGAGAAATGTAATTCAAAAAAAATATAATAGTTTGTCACAACAGTTGAATGTGGTTTTGTAATCCCTTTTTCCAGAGCCATTGCCAAGTATTCACTGTTTGCCTTTGAGGGTAATTCTGTGAGTAGATGGAAAATGTAGGGACTTTTTTTGTGTGTGTAGGCGTGCGCAGAGCCATCGGTTTAGATCTGCTAAACAAGTATTTCCAGCGAGTTAAATTAATAGTCCCAAGCTTGAATGTGAAAGTGCATGTTGAAGTCACGTCAGTCCCTGCTACTGTTTACAAAGACAGATGTAATCTTTTTTACAAACGTGTTATTTTGGAGGAATCTAGCAAAAAGTCCCTGTCATTCTGGTTCTGTGTGTGTGTGCGCTCTGAAGCTAGATAAGGACTGAGGGAATTTATGTTTGTATAAATATGTATCACTGTATCTTTGTGAGGAAGATCCCAAAATTAGAGAAAAATAAGCAAATTATGATGTTGCAACATTTTCAACTGCGATTAAAGATTTATTTTCCAAAAGTCACCCTAAGTGTAGAAGCAGATACAACATACAATTGTACAACCAACATAAACAAGAGACAGCAGACAGCACTCAAATGAAATATGAAGTACATTCCAATAGGGGTGTAATGATGTAGTCGCCAGAGATTCAATTTGATTCATAATACTGGGTTCACAGTTTGGTTTTCTCACTATATTTTGAACAAAAAAATGAATGGGAAAAATATGAGTCTAATCATAAACAAGTGTTTAAAGCAACACTAGAGCTGGAAGGTGGGAGGAGTGCTGGGGTTGAGTTGTTTATGGTGCCGATCATTTGCAAACTTTTTTCATAGTCAACTCTTGAGAAAATTCAGTTCACTATAAAAGCATCATAGAACTTTTTGAAGGTTGTTGTTCAAACAAAGCAGTTAAAGCATTAGGTGGAATAACCTCTGAGTGGTGTTGATATTTTTGTTACCCAGTGGTCTGGTGGACCCAACACATGGTTTTTTTTATTTATTTTTTTTATCAATTAATAAATATATATAAATTTATATAAATTAATTATATAAATTAATTTTTTTATTGTCAATCAATACAGCCATAACAATTTATTTAAAAATACCAGATGTTCAAAATATCACAAGTGGCCTTTAGCAGCTGTAGCCAGTCAGCAGCCTGTCCATGTGATCCACCCTCACACATATACACACACACACACACACACACACACACACACACACACACACACACACACCCACACTTAACAGCAGGCCATGTAGGAGGAGAACAAAGTGAAGGGACACAGCACCTCCACACTTTTATTCCCTGTGGAGGAAATAAAACCCAACACCACATGTGTAATATAAATGTGTAGGGGGTGAACAGTGTGAAGTTATTGAAAATGTTATTTTATGTGTTCTTCCCAGAAAATGAGCAAAAACCAAGGAATCTGGGGTTGAAATAATAATAAATCACATAATTTTGTCTTTTGGTAAACATTGAAAATGGGTCCCACAGACCCCAAAACCACACAAGGGTTAAAAGAATTTCCATTCTCTGCAATACACATTGTCACAGTTTTGCAATACAGTATCATAATGTCATGATTCATTGCCACCCCACAGTCAAAGTGGCACCCCAGGTTAAAACAAAATTCACATGTTAAAAAAGCAAAATGAAAAAGGCAGAAGAAAAACAAGATTTATACCAAAGCCAAGTTTCTTTTTAAAAGAATGATAATAATTATAAGACTTAAGGATGCTAGAGGTGATTTAAATTCAGTTAAGAATAAGGAAAGGGGTTTGGTTGAGAGATTGAGAGCTTCTCTTTATGAATAAAGAATTTAACATATAAAATGAAAAAGTTAACACATTCTAGGAGCTGATTGATTGTTGTAGCAACAGGAAATGGCCCATATTCATCAAATTTGTCAACATTTAAATCTGATTAAAAATGAACAGATGCAAATTTCACAGACATTTTTGCTGTTCATCAGTTTCATCTTTGCTGTATCTGTACGATCAAACCTGCATCTGGTTGAAGTGCGTGTGAATTTGAGCATAAATAGTTTAACAGTCTGAAAAATGCCTGATTTGCGGTTAAATAATGAAAATTATTGTCCACAACATATGATATCAACAGTAACAGTAAATATAGAAAATAACAACAACAATAATAGTAAGAATTTTGCACAGAGCAATCCCAAAAGCAGAGTGGATGTTCTTATTTTTTTACATTCACATTGTTATAAACAAATGCTGTGAGTTCCATTTAAAGAAGTTTGCTTTATACTACCAATACAGTAAATTATTACCAGCCCAAAATAAAACATAACCTATTTAAAACTAACTTACCTAGTACAGTTGAAGCTCTCTTACTCCAATATGTTCACTCAAGCAGCCAGTATTTTATGCAAATATTCACACTACACAATCACATGACTTTATCTGAAAAAAGGCTGCATTTTGTTCTTTTCCGCTTGTATTCTTTTCAGTTGTTGTAACCTGTAAAGATATTTAAGCTCTAGCCAGCAAGGGGGCAGTGCATATCCTGCTTGACCCCAAACTCCACCTATGAAGACATTTACATTTACTTTTATAGCATTTGGTAGATGCTCTTATCCAGAGCGACTTACAATTTGATCATTTTGACCGATAATATTAACCCCCCCACCTGGGCATGCACTGTACCAATAAGAGTCCTTGGGCAAGACTCTTAATACCATCTTTTTGAGCCTGTGCATGTGATAGTATGATGGTCCAAAAAATGGGCTTTTGTCCATAAACAACAATATTTGCATTGTTATATTGTCTGCTTTACTTGGACAGCTTTAACAGGTTTACTTTTATAACCCAGAATATGTGTTTTCATAAACACTAAGAGGGGACCCTTTATGTCCCTTTTATACCTAGAAGTGGCCTAAAGGGGGCATCGGTCAAGTCAGCCATTGGCTCCTGAGCCTGCTGAATACTTTTTACTGGCTCACTATTAAAAGATCTGCCTGAATGAGGGTGTGCTGAAAATTACATGTATATGAGGACAAATTATGCCCATTGCAAATGATATATAAATAATACACAAAAATGTATAAAGAAAATCACCAATTGCTTTGTTGCTGTACGACAGTTTCCTGAATCAGACATGGTGTAGTTCGTACATCATTCAGAATGGTCAGGATGCCTCACTTCTTTTCTACAATGATTTGTTGATAAGGAGCCAGTGTTTTTGAGTTTGTGTGAGTGCTGGGGTTAAAAAGGTGAGCACATAAGATCTGTTAGCTATTTCACATGAATGGCCTTATATATATATATATATATATATATATATATATATATATATACTCAAAACAAGAGTGGGTCAACGTCATTACTTCTGATTTATTTCAGATATCTGTATATGTTTGTATATACATAGACCTCCCCAGGCCGAGGAAGAGACTGACAGAGCTAATGATGAAGACAGTGAAAACAGAGAGTGGAGAACATGAAGCAAATAAGAGGTGGGGATTCCGTTTCCTTCGCAGTCCTGTGGAAGTGCTCCCTGGGCCTGATGGGAAAAGAGTTGCAGGAATTCGTTTGGCTGTCAACAAGCTTGAGGTTAGAGGTGTTGCAGATACAACTTGAGTAACTTATTACACTTTATTTTACACTTATGTTATATAAAAATGTTTGACATCTTTTGTTGCTGTCCTGAGCATAAGCAATAGGCCTGCAGTAGTCTGCAGTTCTGAATTTTAATAGCTCTGATTTTGAAAAACTGATGCCTCTTTATGCTCCCTCTAGGCATTTTATGCTAAGAAAACACACATCCTGGGTTATCAAAGAACACCTGTATGGTTTAACAATCAAAAGCAGAGAACAAAGCAGGGCAAATGTTTATGGAGAAAAACACCATAAAGCTGCTGTATGTAAGATTTTTTGTTAAAATTGGAAGAAATAGAATTGGACGTCTTTACGCCTGAACGTGAAGACGGAAAAATACCATTTTGCATGTGCGCTTGTGATAATAGTGGGTCTGAGAAGGCGGTAACACAAGTGTGGTTTTGTAGCAAATTGAGTTGGAAAATGCACTGGCAAATTTGGAGTGTCACACCTTCTGTTGCACCACTGCACCTACATTGTCATTATCTTTATCATTTATGACTGGCAACGCAGCAAATAGGCAAGAATAGGCTTATGTCCAACCAAATTAGTAATATACTGGCATTATTCTGTTAGATTGCACTTCCCCTGGCATTAAAATAGAGCCCTTAGTATCCTTTTTTTTCAATAAAAATGAAAGGAGTGCAGTTTACTTAGAGAACACTTAATTCAGTCAGTTTATCAAAACTTTTCTCAACGCTTAATTCTTTGGCTTTTCTGGTTTTCTCCTAATGTGTTTCTGTACAGGGTTCTGGGGAGGACGCTAAAGCTGTGCCCACAGGCCAGATGGAGGATCTAGAGTGTGGTATGGTCATCAGCAGCATTGGCTATAAGAGTCTACCTATTGATCCATGTGTGCCCTTTGACCCTCGCAGCGCCATAGTCCCCAACAACATGGGACGAGTGAAGGACACGGCAGGTAGCAGGAAGATAAATGTGTGCATGTGCACTGGTTTGTCATGGATTCCTGTGCAAGGTTTTATGCGTTTGTGTGTGTTGGTAACTGTGCATGTGTCTGCGCAGGGCTGTATTGCAGTGGCTGGGTAAAGCGTGGTCCGACCGGCGTGATCGCCACCACTATGAATGACAGTTTTGATACAGCACGAATGCTACTGAAGGACATGGATTCAGGAATGCTGAACCTGTCTGTGAACAAACCTGGTGGTCAGGAGATCACAGCCTTACTCAGAGAAAGAGGTATTATAAATAAACACACAAACATACACTACGGCTGCACTGATATGGAATAAGTGGGCTAGTAAAAATTAACAATATGTACCCTTTTGTGGTCAGTAACAATATCAGTACCTTATTTATTCATTCATTTATTTATTTATTTACATATTTACATCTTAAGACGTTTACAATATAACTCATATATTAAAATTCTCATGGATGTTAAATTTTACAGTACCTTCACATAGAAATAGAATTTTTATTTGCCAAGTACCATATAAACAAATAAATATTTATGCTTAAATAATATATAAATATATAAATCTAATAAAAACAAAAGAACACCGAAAGTGTTTAACGAGTTGAGGTCAGGACTCTGTGCAGACCACTGAAGATCCTTGACTCCAAACTTATCACAGCGGCTTTGTGCACAGGGGCGTAGACACACCGGAAAAGAAAAGCCTTCCCTAAACTGCTTCTGTCATGGAACTCTTCGCTACAATGCATGCTACTGTCAGTTTTTGGCTATGGAGATTGTAGGGCTATATGCTTGACTTTACAAACCTGTTAGCGATGGCTGTGGCTGAAACACCTGAATTTTAATTAAGAGGAATGTCCACATACATTTGGCACAAACATGACAATACAGAAGTCAACAGAATGGGAATCGTAACATTTCTCCGTACTGTTGAGCTAGCTGAACGTTTCGTTCGATGATAGGTGGGGGTGGTTAGTCTTATTTTTACTCAGATGATGTTTCAGAGGCAGACAAAAGATACTACATTTCGATGAAAGATTACAGGAAAACAAGAATTTAGTCTTTTAAGTTGTATAGAATGATGAATCATGCCTGTATATAGTAAATGTCCAGGGACATTAACTAAAGTTATAAAGGTCAGTTTTGATTTTAGGTCGGCTTCAAAACACACACACTTTACACATATTCTGTTTATCGTCTTTTCTTCTGACCTGGACATTGCAGAGTTCTTGTTTTCTATAAACTGTCCACTGAGACAGCTCAAGAGAAAGTGAAACAGCTGGCATGGGAGGGGGAAAGGAGTCACATGCTGATCACCCAGAATATTGAACATCTGTTGTCTGTTTAGTGGTGCTGTTGCTTGCTTACACAAGGGAAAGACTGGATTTTGCCAGATTATGTCTTTAGGGTATTTGTAATAACTCTTTGTGAATTTAATATGTATCAATATGTTTATCTTCTCAGGTGTGAGAGCAGTGTCCTTCCCAGAGTGGGAGAAAATAAACTTGGAAGAAGTGCGGAGGGGAACAGCTGTGGGAAAGCCCAGAGAGAAATTCCTTGAAGTGAGAGAGATGTTGGCAGTAGCCTGGTCCTGAACACAGTTGGAACAGTCCTCAGCGACCTAAACAAATCCAATTTCATCATTCTCTAGGTTTGATTTGCTTGGAGAAAGTGGCCAGCTTCCGTTTGAAACATTCTTCTTACAGATGTACAATGTAGATCAGATGTCTTCAAATCTGGACCTCAAATCCAGTCCTGGATTTCGTAATTGCTGGTCGTTAAATTTAACAGTTTATGTAACTGGTTGGCCACTTTCATCGCACATGACTTTTGAGTAAAAAGAAGGTGGAAAATCTGTTGTACTTCAGTGATGAGTGGTTTGAATATTGCTGACCTAGATTCTGATTTGCTTCTGTTGGCCGCAAATAGTTCCAGGGCTCTGACTGGGCCTGGCATCGAGCTTGAATTTTATAGTTCTAATTTTGGAGCTCATTGTAATAACACACTGAATCCTCCCCTCTTTCCCAGACACTCACTTCTGTATACAAGTTCCCAGCTCTGGATGCCTTATGTGGCACTTGAATAGCTTGTCAAGTAATCAGTAGTTTGCACTAGCAATCTTTGAGAGGGGATAAAATAAACTTATGTAGAGCATGGAGTCTCCAAAAATGAAATTAGTATTCACTCTTGCAGTAAACCACTCTGTGTCAGGCCAGTATCCAATGCCTGCCATTTGGATTATGTGGAGAAGCTCGCTTTAAGATTTACAGACTTATAAGTCAAACTGCTGCGAAAGTCCATTACACCTTCAAAAGAAAAAAAAATGCAAAGAAATTAAAACTGTGTCAATAATGAGCACAAGGGTCAGTAGTTAGCAAATGAGACCATACAGTTAATGGGGCCTTTAAATTACACTACTAACTTTATACTTCATTTTGGCTGAAGTAATTACATGGGGTCAGGTTTCCCCAAAGCATATTCATTTTAAAAGCATCTGGAGTTTTACAAGGTTTGCACAGTTGGGAAGCAAGGCCATTACTGTTCAACAGGAATGGCTAACTTAAAGCAGCTGGTTTCTCTGCTTTAATACTCTTAGTGAAATTAGCTCTTTGTTAATCAGATCAATCAGGGAAAACTCTAGGCTGAGCGGCATCACAGCTACCTCAAAAACCCTGATCCAGTGTTCTGCAGACAGAGTGATGTCATGGTCTCTCATACCATCTCTCTATGATTAGGTACATGACAGACGTGAAAAAGGCCTTATAGTAATATGTTTAGTGTTGTTCTTTTAATGATATGAGATAATATAATTGTCTTTGTAATATACTTAATAGATTTAATAAAATTATAATACATCATTGTGTGTGTATGTGTGCAAGAATAAGACGGAAAGGAAAATAGAAAGAAGTATCACATTTTTGGTAAAATTCTGTGTCCCTTAAAGCTGCACTATGGAAGAGATATATTATATATATATATATATTTTATTAAAAAAAGCAGCCCTTCTGAGTCAGGAGAGAATTAACACAGTAAAATATTGCATGCATGTGCTACTGCAAGTCACCCTGTAAAGCCTGAAATAGTCATTTAAAAGTCAGAGGTATCAGGATGGACCTTGTGGGAGTTTTTTGGAGTTTGAACATTGCAGACCCAGGCTCGAAAAGAAGGTTCAGCTCGATATTTTGGTCTCAAATGCAAAAATAAACATTATAGTGACAATATAGATAATCCACTCACATTCTTGGAAGACATCCTTCACCAAGTTTTGACTGAGTTCTCTTTGAATACTCTTTCCTCGCACTCATTGGATCCATCTGTTCAGGAAGGGGGTCCAAACAACAACCGTCAATGTCACATGCAGTAATTTTAATAAAACCACACTTTAATGTAGTGTATTTTTTAAAAAGTAGCTTTATTGGCCTTTCACTCTTCCTGCGCTGGTATCTTATGTGACATTGCTTGATCAGTTCTGATTGGCTGAACTTTCCCTTTCACCTTCTCTGACCTGCAGCTCTCAGCACCCTCCACTATTAATCATCTTTGTCTCTTATCCCCTCAAGACAATACACTGCTGTGTTGTTTTGAAGGGATTTTTACTATATTGTTAATATTATTATGATTACTATTTATTAATAGTGTATGTCTACTCCCATAGCTGCTGGTTTTACAAAATAAAGATCAAAATCAAATATGAAATATAAGCATACACAATGAATTTCTCCAGTGAGCTTGTTTATTTCGGTCATAGTTTTAAAACAGTCTCTGTAAAGCTAAGAAAACATCATCTCACTCAGCGGTCTTACCGAGGCTACTGCTACCAGAGAGAGTAATGAACTACTTTCTGTCAATTAAGTAAGATGTGAACGAGTTCAGGGCAGAGCTGTCAATGCCCAGTTCACGCTATCTTGACAGGAGGATTGAAAGGCACACTGTGACAAAAGCTGTGCTTAAATCAAGTAATATAAGGATAGAGAGTTTCGAAGAGATTATTGGTATATAACAGTATATAACAGATAACAGTATTAAAAGCAGAAAGACAGGAGGAGAATAAATTGCAGCCTACAGTGTGGGTAGCCAGAGCAGAAAAAGAGATATTTTTAGTGGTTGAGACCAGCAGAGTTATGGATTTTGGGGATTGTACTGTCACTATAAATGCAATGACATGTTGCTTTAACCACAAAGCTGTGTGTAAGTTCATCACTTAAATGGATTCTGGAAATGGATTCTGGTAAGACCAACTATGTTAAATGTACTGTTATAAAAGTAGTGACGTAAGTAAATAAAGGGTACTCATGTGGTCTGACCAGATCTAGAGTGAGCATCAAAGGGATAGAGAAATTACAAGCATATGAACGCCTGCCATTCTGTTCATACTGATTTGCAGCTGTGAGAATAGTCAAGCATTTCTCTGCTGTCCTGTTTTTCTCAGTGATATAGAATTATCTACTTAATTCGTTATGCAAAGTCGATCATTCAAATAGTTCAACTCTTTGTATGTATTGCGTTCCAGGAGGAACGTCACTAATCCTGCATCTAATTTTGTCTCTTTCACATGTGACAGCTATCTTTGAAAAGTGCTTCCAGTTTTTCTTGTTTTAGTCTCTTTCTTTTCCTTAGGTTTTCTTGTAGCACAGCGTGTTTTCCCCACACAGTACAAGAACCTGTCCGTGCAGGTTGCATTCCACCTGTTTTGTCAGCCAAGCAGATGGAGATGGGGGTCGTTTCGTGTAGTATTGGGGAGTGTCTGACAGGAGGTCAGTGTAAACACACACAAGCCCCCCACTCTGCCCTGCTGTTTTCCAAACAGGGTTCCTCAGTCACATCCCTGCTGAAACAGTTATTGCTAAAACATTTTTATGATGTTCTACATATATTCCAGGTCATTTGTCCTGTTAATAAAATAAATAAATTGACCAATGCACTTTTAATTACAGGACAGCATATACTAAATTGGAGACTAAAGCAGGGGTGGGGGACAGCACAGTTTATTGTTTTGCCACCTCTGTTATTCCAACGGAACATACAAATTTACTGATAAGCTTTGTTTGACCAGGAATATTGCCAAACTGCACTAAAATTTGGCCTGTAGGTCCAGAATTAACCCACCCCTTGGCTCAACATTAAACAGTTAATAATATACTGTGGAACCAAGTCACTCAATGTGTTAACAAGTAGTTTAACTCAAATAAATATGTTGAATTCACTCTAGAATTAATTCTATGTATATGTACTATTATCATAGAAGAATTCACAGATGGTGTCTACAGAGTAAAGTGTCGTGTTCAGTAGTGTGGGAATGGGAATGAAATACACACTTTTCCCCCCAGGGTAAGGTGGAAAAGCTGGAAGTTGTTCAGTCTTGATTCATACTCACCTCTAGTGGTCTTGACTGCAGCACCACTATTAAGGGAATTAAAATCTAGTAAAAAAAACATTTATAGTCATATAGTTCCTAAAGAAGCAGGCAGGCAGTGGAGTGAAAACTGGTATAACATGATCTCATTTTCTAGTATGTGTTAATATTTATGCTGCTGCATGTATGATTTTTGTGGTTGTAGAAAGTCCAGTGAGCAATGCATTATAATAATCAAGGCAAGAAAACACAAAAGCATGGATCATTTTCTTGGTATGTTATTACCAGAGGTTTGGTCTCACTCTTGCTATATTCCTTAAATGACATAACACAGCTTTAGCTATGTTATTAATGTGTGGTTTAAAAGTTAAAGGACAATCCATAATAACACCAGGATTTCTATCTTCAGGTTTTATCTGTAGAGCCAGATATCTAAGTTGTAAATCTTTGTCTCTTCGCTTCACTACTTCTGCGTTGTTTTCATTTGTTAAAAAGTTGAGATTCATCCAGCTAACAATGCTATAGCTGTGTATCGTCAGCATAACCGTGACTCATTAATGTTTAATAATCTGACTCGGTGCAATATATATATATATAAAAAAAAAGGTAAACATGTATTTAGATGGCCCACTGTAGATGCTTTGTAAATGCTCAGTCTATCTTTTAAAAATGCTGTTGGAATAAGGTCTAAAATTCAAGTGGTGTTTAGCTGCATGACAAGCTCTGTCTCATTAATTGTTTTAAAACTATCCATAGTTTTATGCTGTTCAGTAAAAATAAAACTACAATCCACTACTGGTGATTATGGAATTGCAAAATGTGATCTTTGGCGATAATTAAACCAAAGAAAACATAGTGAGAAATAGGTTTGTCACTGTTCATACTGCATTACTATAAATGTTAATATGATCATACAAAATTCACAGTGAACTGTTTGTTCGCATTTCCTTCTTTTCCATTCCTTTTTTAGTTAGTCTTAGTTTATCTTTTCATTTTTCCATAGCATTTTTGTAAAGTGTTTCTCGTCAGTCTTTTCTGGTGCAACAGTATTGAAAACAGATCTCAAACTACCATTAAAATCACTGACCATATCACACACTGTTGGGCTTACATGCAAAGGCAGATTATGTTGTTGTGCTTTAGTGGAAGCAGTAGATGTTGACAATGATTCGATGGATAAGTTCTGGTAAGAAAGAGAGATACTTGGGTGGACACTGGTTCTTGACTTTTTAAACCTTTATTAAAACCTTTTAAAGCTTTTTTTTACTACATATTTACCACATATACATAGTGGTGTCTGTGTAGAATATGATGTGGAAACATACAGCTGACAAGTGAACGCTTTTTTTATTGAATGCAGCAGGAGGGGAAAACCACCACCCAGTGCTGGAGAAACAGCCAAGATAGTGGACAGGTCACTTCTAGCCCTACACTTTCACCTGACAGTAAGCACTAACTCTGTACAAACTGTCCCATAGCCCAGCACAGAATAGTACAAACAACACATGTGCTTATCTTTAAGTGTGCGGACACCTCTACGTGTGGCCACTCTGCACTGTTATTTGTAGGTTTTGTAAACGAAAAAAATCTGCATAATATACAAACAGTATTTCTCCACTGTTGAGACCAGAGTCCCCCCGTGTTAGTGTGAAACCATGCTGAACCATTTCCTAAACTCAGTGTACTTCTAAACTTCTGCCAGACTGTTATCAGTTCTCTCTTTGGGTCCTAGAGTGAGAAAGTTTACAGCTATCTGGTTTACCGGATTGAAATCCCATGACAACACCATAGTAATGCTATGTATAGTTCAGAAGTAGTTTACAAATGTACACACACGTTAAACGAATGAATAAAAAAAACAGTGAGTACTAGAACTATTAGAGCTGCATTCGATTTTCGTGTTCAGTGTTCAACTGAAGTTCAATTCATCTCAATGCATGATTAGAAAAAAAATCTGCACTTTAATTTATCAGTCTCAATTTCATTTGCAAACTGCACCCTCTTTGCAGCTTTTGGTTAGCCTGTAAAATTGTTTTGGTTGAACAAGTAATAGTGCCTACTTCTGCCTCATTCCAGTAGACATAGTTTGGAATAGGACTAAATTCTATGCATTAAAATCTACCAAGTTGTACTAAGTTATTATTTTCCATAGACAGTAGTTAACAGCAGATATGCATGTTTGTATGCGGTTGTTTTTCGAAATTTGTTCATAAAACTACTAAATAGATTATAGCCATAAATAACAGGGGGGTGGGGGATGGCTGATGTTGACAGTTGTTGAGAATAAGATGTACCACTTTGTTTTTGATAGCTGAGGTGCAAGACATGCATTCTGGGCCTAGGCTTTTTGAGAAACAACAACTGCTAAATGAACCTAGAGAGTGCCACGTTAAGTTAAGTCAGAGGCAGCCATGTGGTCATGATGAAACCACTAACATGTTCAGCACACAACTAAACACAAAACGCTAGAGCTGGTTGGAAGATTTCTAGGGATGGGGTGCGCTC